CTTTTGTTTTCATATCACCTTCATTTCCAGTTATATCCCTACTCCGCCAGAGAGCCTCCCTGTAACAAAAACTAAGAAAGAGAAAGACTCCCCTGAAAAAAGCAGTTCAATAAAACACGTCGACTGATTCTGACAGCATGTGCAATGCTCCACACCCGTAGTACCCCATCTCTGCAACGAATCCTCCCCTAAAGATCCAGATGTATTGTAAGATGGCCATGTTGGCACTGGGCCCTATGTCGGCATGGAGATCCTGCCTTTGGCTGCCTCTGGCAGGGGAGAGTAGACTTTGCCTTCACCTGCCTGTGAATGTGTGGAAAAACAAAACAAAACACTTGAAAACCCAGGGCCCCTTTCAAATTCTGTTCAACAAAGGCTTATTAAACATTTGCTCTATACAAGGTGCTGTCCTAGGTTCTGGGAATTCAAAGAAAAAATAAATGAAATACTGTAGTCCCTGCTTTCAAAGAGCTTACATTCTACTGGGGCTATGTACACAAATAGAGAACGAAGAAAATGGAGGAGGGAGGGAGAGTGTTAATAGCTTGGGCAGGAGAGTCAAGGAAGGCTCAGGAGGAGGAGGTGCTACTGAGCTGGACCTGGCAGAAAGACAAGTCTTCTCAGAGAAGAGCAGAGGAGAAAAGTCACGTGGTGACTCCAGGGCCCCGCCTTCCGTCCCAGTTCCGTGATGTATCACTGCCCTTCCTGCACTCTGGCTCAGCTGAAATGGCCTCCTTGCTGGTCCTCACATAGCCCTCCCTCTTCCCTCTTTGCATTGGCCTGAGCTAGTATTTGTCAAGTGCTTCGCACAGTGCCTGGTACATAGTAGGTGCTTTATAAATGCTTATTCCTTCTTCTTCCTGTCTCCCTCCCCTCCTCATACCTGGCATGGTCTTCCTCCTCACCTTTGCTTTTCTCCCTTATTTCCTTCCAGGCTCAGCTGCAGACCCATCTTCTACCCAGAGCCTTTGCTGATGCCCCTCAGCTGCTAGTGACCCCCCTCTGTAAACACTGATTCTGTCTATGCCTCTGTATGTGCTCATCACTTCCCCTGGCAGATCTCTGTGAGAGCAGAGGCTGTCTCATTTTTGCCTCAGTACGTAGCACAGTTCCTGACACAGAGGAGACACTTAATATGTGCTTTTTATTGTTTTTTGGGGGTTTTTTTGGTGAGGCAACTGGGGTTAAGTGACTTGCCCAGGGTCACACAGAGTGAGTGTTATGTGTCTGAGGCGGGATTTGAACTCAGGTCCTCCTTAATCCAGGGCCGGTGCTCTATCCACTGCACCACCTAGCTGCCCCTATATGTGCTTTTTAAATTGGTTGATTGGGGCAGATGGATACTGGGCTAGATCTGAAGAGGTCCTGGCTTCAAATACCACCTTTGCTACTTACTACCTCTGTGACCTTGGACAAATCACACAGCCTTTATTATCCTTGGTCTCCTCATAGGAAAAGGAGGGGGCGGGGTTTCATGATGACTAAGATACCTTCCAGTTTTGAATGTGACCCTATCGTTCTATGAATCCATTTCAGGAAAAGGGAGTTGTTTGTACAAACACATGGAGCTGGGAAATGGGATATCAAGTTTAGGGAGAAACTAGTAATCCTGTTTAGCTGGAATGCAGAATTTATGAAGGAGAATGATGTGGGAGATGGGAGCCACACTGTGGAGAGCTTTAAGTATTAAGCTAAGGAATTTGCATTTTTTAATGAAAGCAATAAGGAGCCATTAAAGGTTCTTGAGTGGTGGAGCAACGTGGACGGAGCTGTTATAGGAAGGTTGTTCTGGAAGCTTGTAGAGGATGGATTATGAAGGGGAAAGGTTGGAAGGGAGGCCAATTAGAAGGCTATTTACATTGTCCAGGTGAGAGGTAATAAAGGCTTGAACTAAGGCAGTAAATCTGTGAATGAAGAGAAGGTGCCAGATATGCCATAATGGTAGAATTGACAAGACTTGGAAATTGATTTGATATGGGGATGAAAAAGTGGGAAGAGTTAAGAAGGAGAAGCTAGAGTACTGGGAAGATGGTAGTGCCCTTAACAGAGATGGACAAGTTTAGAGGACTGATGGTTTAGGGTGGGAAGATAATATGCTGAGTTTGAGATGCATGTGTGACATCATCTAGAGGAATTGATAGGAGACAGACAGATGCACAGAGAGACAGAGACAGAGAGAGAAACAGAGAGACGAGACAGAGAGAGAAAGAGAGAGATTAAGGGTGAATAAATGTATAGATCTGGGAGTCATCAGCATAGAGATCATACTTGAACCCATCACTAAGAGAGAAATGAGAGAGAGTGAAGAGAAGAGGGCCCAGGACAGTCCCCTAAGGAACACTCGCTTGGTGAGCAGGGGATGAATTCAAGTTCAACGAGGGAGATAGATAGGAGCTAAGAGGAAAACCAGGAAAGAATTATGTCCCCAAAACCAAAGCAAGAGACAGTGTATCCAGAAAGAATGGATAGCAGTATCAGAAGTTGCAGGGTGGTCAAGGAGGATGAAGACTGAGAAAAGACTGTTGGATTTAATGATGAAAAGATTGTCAGCCAATTTTGAGCTAGAAACGAAAGTCGGATTGCCAAGGCCTAAGATGCGAATAGGAGGTTGGGAAACGAAGCTCAGTTTGGCAGTGAAAGGGAAGAGCGACAGAAGAAGCCAGCTTGAGGGAGGAGTGCGGGGGAGCCAGCTTGAGGGAGGAGTGCGGGGGAGCCAGCTTGAGAGGGCTCTTGAGAGCTGATTATAAAATTTTCTGTGTAAGCATTTACATCTTGGAAATCAGCTAACACTACAAATCAGGGCCTGATGTATTGTTTTGTTGATTGTCTAGACTTGAGGAAGTGTTGGAGAAAATCTTAATGATGCAGGTTCAACTTAAAGGTGTGTCCTGGATGTATTTTTCCCCTCAGAGACCTGATTGTTAAACATTTACTAGCACACCACCGGCTTGAGGATTGAGTAATGGTTTTTAAGAATGAGAGAAATATTGTGAGTGAGTGCACAGGCAGGGGATGGGAAGAGAATTCAAGATGGGAGAGAGGGATACTGATCAATGCAGCAAGCCCCTGGATGGGACAGGAGCGGGGCCGATTCTTTCTTTCTTCCCCAGAGCCGTCTATCTAGTTCTGATCCAAGACAGGTTGTCAGAGGAACCTCAGAGACCATCTAGTCTAAGCCCATCACTTTACAGATGAGGAAACTGAGGCCCAGGGTGTTGAAATGACTTGCACAAAGTTGTGCAAATAGTGAATTTCCTGGGTGGGACCTGAACCCAGGTGTTCTTATCCAAATCCAATCTTCTTTACATGGCCTTCTCTTTCTTCTCTGGGCTTTGTTAGCAAATCTTCCTTGTCTTAGTTCAACCAAAGTAGAGAAATGTTAAAGATCTTTGCTAAGAAACTAAAAGGGGGGAAATATATCGAAACAAAATTAAGCAGAGAGGCCCTAGAACTCTGTGAGGTAAGGGAGCAGTGTTCTTTGAGTCAAGCCTGCCTGACTTTGTCTCCAGAATGGCATTCTCTCCATCCCTCCTTTGGGATCAATAGCTGACTCCTCCTCAGATCTAGCCCAGGCTTGTTCTCGTCCTGGGTAAATCTCAGCTTCTCCACCTGTGACCCATATCTCAGATTAACCAAGGTCCCCACACTGACTGAAATAGCTGCACGGCTTTTAAGTCCTCAAACCTCCCAGAATTCCAGAGTTCCAGAGAAGGAAGGCACCTTAGCAGGCATCTTAGGCAAACCACAGCTGCCCAAGCATCTCCCCTACTTCCAACTCAACAAGGGGACATGCAGTCTTTGCTTGAAGAGTCCAGGGAGAGTGACCTCCCCAGGCAGGCTGTTTGGCCTCTTTGCAACTCCTAGAGCTTGGTGGGAGGGAGGGAGAGAGAGAGGATGTGACTAAGGCTTTCTCCCAACAACCGGTATTTTGAGGGGCAGCGTATGGCTTCTACTCAAAGGCCTGGAAGTAGCTGTGGCCTTGAGTTGTGAGTGACCTCTTCACACAATCCTGGGTCACCCCCTCACCATGGGGCCTGCCTGCACCCCTAACCCTTATGAGGGGCATAAGCAAAACACTCTGGGGGACGGACTACCTCTCTGCCGGCACTCTTCACCCAAAGGCTTTCGCCCCAGGTGCTCCTGGTTCTGCCCTCTGGGGCCCAGAACAGCAAAGTCTGACTCCTTTTCCATTTGACCAGGCTTTGAGTATTTTGAGACTTCCAGATAAACTTCTATTTTCTGGGATCCAGACTGTCCACTTCCCAGGTCTAGTGGCCCCAATTTCTCTTAATTCTCAGCCCAACTGCCGGGCTGCAAAGGCTGATTCTTGGATTCGATGAACACCTCTGACCTATAGACCCAACTGTCAGCTCCCCCCACTCACCATTTTCCAAAGTGATTTTCGGACTGGCTTCATGCCCCTTCCCAACCGTATTCCAGTAATTTGCACTTATGCTAAAGGAAGCTGTAATTACAAGAGGGACCTGTTTGACTTGAACCTAATGCTCCTTTGCTTTCTGGGAGTCCCTTGTCTCAGGTTGGGTTGCCCTCCCCCCACCTGGAGTACTTTAAATCCCTAAGGTCAGGACACACTAGAGGACTAGGGGGAAAGGGAACAGGTCTAGGAAGGTGAAAGGAGATGGGAAAGGGGTAGGGAGGGTGAGGGTCTTCAAGACATATCTGGCATTACCAAGTATGGAAGGCCCAGATTACACACCGAGGAAGTTGGAAATGTGCTCCTGGGTACCCAGAATGAGACACCTCCAAATCCAGGGTTCTCATATCTGGGAGGTCCAGAAATAGACCTTTTGGATGGACATTGGGCAGCTGTTCCCCATTCATCAGTGGCCCCAGATGGCATCCCCAAGCACTCTCGTGTAAGCGCTTGACCTCTCCCTCTGCCAGGGATACAAGTCAGGGGATAAGAGGAAGGAAGGGGTAAACCCCTGGCCAGGAAACAGACCTATTCTTGGTCCCTTCCACCTCTCCTTTCGTGGCAGCAGATGGAAAGCTCTCTCGTTCGCCTGGAGTGGGAAAGAAGAGAGCTAAAGAGGTCCAGAAGACAGGAGCAGCAGCAGGGCAGAGAGCTCCAGGACAAGTGAGGAGGGTGTGACCAGAAGGCTGGGAGGGCTGAGGGAGAAGGGTGGGGAATGGGTGGTGGGAGGGAAGGACCCTCCTCCGTTACCCCCTTTCTCCCCTCCAGAATCCTGCATCTGCAGGTAGAAGTGATGAAAGTCAAGTTGTGTTTGGACAGAATGAGCCAGCAGTCACTGTTTGTGGAGGACCCAGAGGTGAGAATGGCCAGAGGGAAACCTGAAGGCTGGGCTCACCTCCCAGCCCGGGGAAGCCTGCGCATGACTCCAGGTCTAAATACTGCAGTGGGCAAGAAGAGGGTCAGGAAGGGACTGCAAGGGGTGGGGTGGGGTGAAAGGATGGGGAAGTGATAACTCTCACCCCAGAAGCCTTTGCTGAGTTACCCGAGTACCCAGACCTGTGCATGGGGGAGACAGAGAACAAAGAAGGACCATCCCTAACTCAGTTCATATTTTGGTGGGGAAAGAAGAGTGACCTAAATTAAATTATTAAAGAGCAGGGGATGGTATAAACCTACGGGTCAGTGTGAGTCATGAAGGTTAGTGTGCTGTAGGAGGTCAGAGCAGGGAGGCTGGGGGAGTCAGGGAGGGCTCCTTGGAAGCTGTGGGCCCTGAAGGATTTGGAGAAGAGAAGGGAAAGCTTCCATAGGGCAGCAGCATGGAAAAAGATTCAGAAGAAGGAATGAGCAGAGTCATGAACAAGTAATTTTGGTGCTGGGGACAAAGTTCACTTGGAGCAGGCAGCATGAAATACACCCTTCATTAACTTTTTGAAAGAATTTCAGTTGTGAGTGGGGGAGACCATAGGATGCAGCCTGGAGGGCAGTGGGGTTAGCTTAGCAGAGTGCTTGGCGAATGTAGGCTCTTAATAAATGGTGATTGATTGATTGATTGATTGATTGATATTGATTGGGATGAAAGAGGAAGTATGCCATGCCTCCTATGTGAACTAATTTTCCTAGAAAGAAAAGGAATGGACCTGTGAGTTCATTCCCCTGGCATAGAGAAACTCCCTCTCTCAACTCCTTCTGTGATGATGCAAGTTGACACCTTCTAGTCTGAGACAGTGGACTGATCTCCATACAGCCAGTTTGTGTCCAAGATGGGACTTGAACCAATGCCTTCCTAGACTTGAGTCTCATTCTAGTTGTGGCTCCAGAAGCAGGCAGGAGCTGTGTCGGGGAGACTGAAGATCTCAGAATGGCTGGAACAAGGACTGTTTGTTGGGGATCAATGAGAGATAAGGCTAAATGGGTAGAGGGATGCAGGCACCCAATGCCCTTGATATCTAGGCAAGGAATTGTAGACTCTGGACAAATCTGCAGACCAGGTAGAATTCTGGAAAACTCTCTGCATGGTTGAGTTAGCTTCTGGGTCATAGGAACCCTGGGATGGCTCAAGAACATGGGGAAGGGTGATGTCTTTTGACTAGATGCTCTCTATATCCCCTGAGCAGAAGGAGCCCAGAGTCAGACCTGAGAGTCAGGGGGCTGACCTCAATACCAAGCTCCAGATGTTGGTGACCAACCAGGACTCCATCTTTCAGGTACCATGGGTTGTTAGAGATGCCCCCCTTCCCAGTCAACTAATGTGACCCAGACGATTCCTCTTTGGAAACTCATTGTTGGGACCTCCACTGGGGAGGTGTGGAGGACCTTAGTGGTCAGAATCCTGCTTAAGGATTGGAGATGTCAGTAGGGAGTGTGTGTCACCACAGAGATCGCTAGGCTAATGACCCCAAAGTAGACCTACCTGGTCAGTGTAGACTGGGAGTTCTTAACCTAGGGTCTGTAACCTTGTTTTAAAAAAATATTTTTATAATTGAATTTCAATATAATTGATTTCCTTTGTGATCTTGTGTATTTTTATGCATGTAAAAAGATCATTCTGAGAAGGGCTCCAGGCATTTCACCAGACTACCAAAGGGGTCCATGGCACAGAAAGGGTAATAACCTCTGGAACACAGGGATGCTGAGGGCATTTAAGGCTGGTTTTCATTTCTAGGAGAAGCTAGGACAGGAGCTGAGCTTTGATGCCAATCAGACTCTAGAGGGCCAGGGGGAAGTAACAGTGGAGGGCCCGAAGGCCTCTACCCCCCAGGAGTCCCAGGACATGATCTTTCTTCAAGAAGAGCTGGTGATCATTAAAGAGGTAACTTTGGCCTGGCTCTCTCTTCCTGGCTCACCCTCTACCTGTCCTTGCCCTTCTTGGAACATGACTTTCTGAGAATCTCACAGGTCTTGGAGAGCAGCTGATCCAATTCTGAGTAGACAGGTGGAGACAAGGGGTGGGAGCACATATATAGATGCTTGCCCGAAGTCTCACAGTAAATTATTGGCAGAGCCAGAGCTAGGCTTCAGGCTTTCTGGAAGGCAGCCCAGTGCCCTTTGCACTGGGAGGGAGGAAGGAAAAAGCAATGGGCTGTGTCTCAGTCTTCCTCTCCCAGGAGAGCTATGGTTCAGAGCACTGGGCCTGGAGTCAGAAGGATCTGAGTTCAAATCCAGCCTCAGACACTTACCAGCTGTGCAACCTTGGGCAAGCCACTTAGCCTGTTTGCCTTAATCCATTGGAGGAGGAAATGGCAAACCATTTTGGTATCTTTGCTAAGAAAGTCCCATGGACACTATTGGCATGCAGCACAGTCCAGGGAGCCACAAAGAGTGGGGTACGACTGAAGAACCTTATGTGGGGTAATCTCCTTTGTGTTTTTCTTTTTCCTTCAAAAGAAAGCAGATGTCTGAGGGCAGGGGTTCTGAGTCCCTCATGGGACCAAAAATGTTTCACCAGATTTATGAAAATGGGCCAGAGATCTGTCCAAGCTTGTCCTGGGTGGTTTTGTTTTGGGGGCGGAGGAGTCTGAACCTGTGGTTTCATTAGTGTGGAGAGCTCCCAGCATGGAAACTCTCTCCACCAGAGTGAGACATCAACTTCTCCAGACTGAGCATTAAGTCATTCATCTCATATGGTGCCATAGCCAGGATGTGGCCAGTGGAAAGATTCAGACCTGACACCAAGATCACCTTTGTCACTATGCCATGCTGTCTGAGCGTTCAACTTAATTTTTTACCATCTAGTTAATAACAGTGATTGATTAATAATAAAGAATGAGAATAACATTCAAGGGCCTTCCCTCCACTGCTGCAAATCCAAGGTCCTAGGAGCTTTCATGACGTGCCCAGGTGTCCAGCTAGTGTCAGGATTAGAATCTGAGCTCAGATTAAACTTTCTGCCTCCAATCCCAGTATTCTGTGCCTATTCCACTGTGCCCCTATAGTGAGATAATACTAGTAATGATCCTACACTAAAGACCTCATCTGATTCCTAGTCCCATCATGGAGGTGACCTTGCGGTCTCAAAGGCCATGCTGCAGAGTGCACACTCTGCATGGTCCCACTGAGCAGGAAGAGCTTGAAGTATAGGTCCAGTGATTGACTGTACATCTCTTGTCCAAGAACCAGCCAGCCAGTCAGTTGATTGCTCGAGGCCTGCTACGTGCAGGGCCCTGTGTCAGGTGGGCATGGGTGGGATTAGTGAGGGGCCAACCCCAATGCAGTGGAGAATGACCAACAGTCCTTGGGATGGGTATGGGATAATCCCTAGGTGAATGAGCTGCTCTCCTCAGAGCTGGACCAGAGCCGCCGGAGACTGAGGACCTGTCTAAACCAGCTCTACCAGCTGCAGGCAGAGAAGAAGATTTCCCACAGCTGGCTCCAGGCCCTGGAGATGGAGCAAGCCCAGCTGATGGGAGAGAACTTGGCACTGTTGTCTGTGCTCCAGGGGCAAGGGGGAGGCGCAGAGCTCGGGACAGCTTCGTGGCAGAATAGTGAGGCCAGTGGGTAAGTGACTCTTTCCCTTCAGGGATCTCGAAGCCCTTTATTGTGATGTCCTTAGCCCTCAACCTCAGTTGGTTCAAGAAGCAACAGAAAGCATCGCCATCACAGAAGAGAGAACCAATGAAAAAAGAAGGCCCTGCCTGGCTGATTTGGGGACAGAATGGGGAAAAAGATCCAATCTAGTGAATTCTAATGTGGATTGTCGTATCATAGACACATTCTCCTTCTTGAAGCCCCTTGGAGCCTTCCAATTACTAAATGTTGTTGGCCTATTTAGCAGATGGCCCATTTAAATGTTACCCCAGTTAAGGACTGCAGATCTGTTTAAAAGCTCAGACCCCACCTCAAGGTGCCCAGGGTAGAGAGAGGGTTAATTCAGACAAGCATAGTGTCACCAGGAGTCCCAGAGGAGAAGGTTCAATCCTTCCAGGCGAGAGCCACATGCGCAGCTTCAGAAAATGATGAATAGGAACCGATAGGAAAGGAGAGGGAGAAGGTCCCAAGCTAGGAGAAGTGCCTAGAGGACTCCCCATCCATCTTCCTTCCCTAGATATCCTCAGTTCCAGAAGGAGTTGGTCACTCCCCAACAGGAGCCAGAGGAGGAAACATCATGCCCCAGGACCCATAAGGAGGAAGTTCAGTATTGGAAAGCACGCTGGCAGCAGGTGGCAAATGAGTTGAAATCCAAGGAGGAGGAACTGGAGACGGTCCAGAGACAGACATGCAAGGTGGGCTCTCCCACCCAGTGCCACTTTCTCTGAGATGCTCCCCTTTCCTCCATTCCCCAGAATCCCTTTCTACCCTCGTCTTTCCCATTTGGACTTGCTCCTTCCCTGCTGTGAATGATCACCCACCCATGCCCACGTCCATACGATAAATTTGCCAAAAGGGGTCAACCCAATGTCCTTAGGGCCTTCCTCACTCTCTTAAAAAAACCTATTGATTTCTTATTTTTATATCACCTTCATTTCCAAATATAACTCAGACATTCCTTGTAACAAAGAATAAAAAATTACAAAAAAAAAAAGAAAAGGAAAAAAGCAGTTTAGCAAAACTAACCAACATATCAACCCCATGTGACAGTGTATACAATATTTCTCAAGGAAGGGAGGAAGGTGTATTTCCAGCAGGCCAATGCAGATCATTACCTTCCTCGCTTTCTCTCGACATCTCAAGGATATCTATGGAATACGTGGCTGCTCATTGGTTATACTTTGCTTCCCTCATGTAATTGGTCCCATTTTCTTTTCAGAACATAGATTTCTTGGAGTAAATCCTCACTTGTAATGTGATGCAATCAACTCCCTTCTTTCACTGATCTTTGACCTCCACTTCAAGTGTTCTGACTATAGCAGTCTATGGCTGCAGTGCCGTACAAAACACATGCATAGCGTACGAGCAAACGAAGACCTGCTTTTGAGCACAGTGCCAATCGGACCCACCCCATCGGCCGCTGTTAATTCCCTCTTGCTCAGGACTCTCTTATGCTCTCAATAACTCTCTACCCTGGCTTATCCGTTCTTCTTTTCCAATTTCCTCTCTTCTCTTTCCCAGATCCCCTGGGTCCAAGAGCTTCTCCTAGGGAAAGAGGAGGGTCTGGCTGGGTTGAAAGACCCTGTGGGCAGGTGAGTGACCTCTGGACTTCAGTGGTTGCTTGATGGCATTTCATTCCCTAGCGAAGAATGAGGGCAGACTTATTGGGGAGCTGTCTGGGAGGAAGGGCAGGGACAGCCTCTCTTGCTGACGGAAAGAACAATCCCCACATTGGTTAATGGGTCTTCATGAGCCATAAGGATCAGAAGTTTGGTGAGGCTGGCCTGGAAGAGGAAGGTAAAGAGTCCAGAGTGAAGGGTAAAAGAGAAAAAGACTCAGGAAGCTTAATTTGTGAAGCTGACAGTATCTTTCTTTCAGGGAAAACGAGACCACTGACCTGGAAGGGAGCCGGCTGGCAAAGAAGTATCAACATCTTTGTTCTGGAGAAGTGAGAAAGGAGACAATTCCTCTGCTTCTCTCCCTCTGGCCTCACTCATGTCCTCTCCTGCTTCTTTCTTTCTCTCCTATTCTCTCCTGCTCTCTCTTTTCCCTCCTCTGCGCTCTGCTTCTATTTCTCTGTCTCTTTGTCTCCCTTCCATTTTATTTCAGTATCTAATAGCCCTCATTGAGGGAAAATTCTTCATTTTATCTAACTCAAATTTCTTACTCCAGTGATTAAACTCCGTTTTTCTGGTTTTTTCTCTGGCCATTATGTTCTCCTATATATCAGGGTCTCTTGAAACTTCTGTTAAGTATCTGACCCTTCTTGTGACAACCCCTTCCCCATGAGAGTCCAGGTCAGGAGGTCAGGGTTCCCACCAGGGATCAGTGTTGGATGGCTTGAAGGGTGGAGGTGGAGACCCCTGGGGTCAGGGTGAAGAAGTGGAGGGAGCCAGAGAAGGAGGAATCAGCCTCCACTTTTCCTACTTTCCTCCTGATTTCTCCCAGGACTCAAGTTCACTAACAGAGAAGATGGAATATCAGAGAGATCTCCAGTAAGTATGACCTGGAGGGTAAGGTGAGCAGCAACGGGAAGAAAAGAAAGGGAGTCCTGGGGAATTTGGGTGACTATGAACAAAGGCCCCAGAGAAGACAGAAGCCATCTCAGAACTGGGGAGGGGGACATGGTGAATCTTCTCACATTCATGAACCTTATTCCCTCTTCTCCCTCACCCTCTATTCTGTAATAGAAGCAAGATGAAAATACTGGAGCAGGAAAATGCTCAGATGGCACTGGTGATCCAGAGGTGGAAGGTGCAGATGGGGACACAGCTTGGCATTCTACTTCCATCTTGTCTGGGGGGGAGCAGAGTTTGTGGGAAGGGTCTGGATGCCCATGCCTAGCAAAGAGACCCAGCCTGGTTCCTAGGGTCTACCCTTTCTTGCCACTGTATTGCCAAGTAACCGTGGTCTGGGCTTCAGGATTCCCAAGACTGAGAATATCTATCAGTTCCCCAAATCCAGAATCCCTGCACATCAGAAGGTTCAGAACCTCTCTAATTAGGTATCAGGAGATTTTGAGTAGCAGCATTTTCTAGTAGAAGAAGCCGTTGGCTGGGAGGCAGATCACCTGGGTTCTTGTACCGGTTCAGCCACAAACATGCTGTTTGATTAAGAGGACGTCACTTCACCAGTCTGGGCCTCAATTTCCCAGTTTGTCAAATGAAAAGAATAGTCTCTAAGGGCCTCCCTCGCAGAAGTTCCAATGGGAGAATGCATGAAGCACAAAGCCCCTGTACCTTTGTACCCCTCTGCCCCCTTCCCTTCTCCCCAGATCTCACTCCTCAGTGATCCCGAGTGATGGTCATGTACAGGCCCAGGGTTTGGGATCTCTTCTTTCTGTCTTAGGAGAACTGAGCCTTCTCAGGCTCATATCCTCCATGATCTCATCCCACCAGCCCTGCCAGCTGACGATGCCTCCCTTCATTCCCATCCCTAGCTGGACAAGAGCCCAGTGCTTCAGATCGAGCTAGACACCTGCAAGCAGGAGCTAGAACTAGAACGAAGTTTGTGCCTGGCCCTGCAGCACCAGCTTCGGGGGCTGCAAGGTGGGAGTGCCCCCCAGAGGGCAGAGCCTCCACCAGCATTGCCAGGTCCGGGACCGTGCCCCCCTGGAACCCTGAAGGGGATGGAAGCAGAGCCCCGATGGGACATGGTAAAAGCCCGCAGAGAGTGCCTGTGTGTGAGTGGGTGGAGGGGACTCTGAAGTCTCCAAGGACAGTCATGGCATACCCGTCAAAGTAGAGGCTTCTTGTGGTAGGCCTGATCTCCTCCTGTCCTTCTCAGGAGATCCCTGAAAGCAGCCTCTGAACCTATGCCAGAGTAGAGACTCCCAGAGGGTAGGTGGCTGTCTTCCCCCTCATACCTGGAGCTCTCTGCCTTTCTTTGTCTCTTCTAGCACCTAGAATAGGGCTCTGTACACAAGGATTTTCATTTCCCCTGACAAATGGAATCCGTAGCTGTGTAACATGGTGGATAGAGGACAAATCTTGGAGTCAGGATGACCTGAAGTTCTGCTTTTGATACTGATACACACTAGCTGCGTGACCCTGGGCAAGTCCCTTAACTTCTCAGTGGCCCAAGAAAATTCTCTATGGCTAGCTGTAAGTTACAGACTAGCATCTGATCTGCAGTGGTGAAGGAAGTTTCCATACTGGGAATTCCCTTTAAACAGTTGAAATCACAGATCTAAACCAAAGAAGGAAAGAGAAAGAAAACCTTAATGGGTTTAAGCCCTTTTCAGGCTTAAAGGGTAGGGATATTACCTTGGGCATCCTTCTCTTCAGCCTCTACAGACCAGGTTCTACTGAGTCTCTGCTCAGTGCAGCCATGGGGTCACCCAACCAGCAACATCCTTCTCTCTCAGCAGTTCCAATCCAAAGCAGAGTCTCATAGACCCCTCCAGGAGCTTCAAGGATCTTCATCAGGAAGGTAAGCTTTCTTCTCTCATTTTGTCTGAGCTAGTCCCTTCTATCTGGCCTAACCCCTTGGGTGGGTACTTTGGCCAGCCTGGGTCTCCTATAACAAAAATAACCCCATATGCTTTCCATTGCCTTTACCTCCACACTTGGGAAGCTCATGCCCTGTTCCCACCTTCTTTGGGGAGCCTTTGGGGATATGTTGACAATGCAGTGTGGTAGCTGAAAAGCTAACCATGATTTGGAACTGCATTATGGGAGGCAAAGCACCCAGGGCTAAGGATGGGATTGTCCCATGCCCTGCCCTGGGAGGAATCCATCTGGAGCATTGTGTGGTTCTGGGTGCCATGGTTTAGGAAAGATGCTGGCTCACTGGAGACTGTCCAGAGAAAGGCACCTACAAGGTGAAAGGCTTTGAGTTCATGCCACGTGGGCATCAGTGGAAGGAGCTGGGAATGTTCGGCCTGGAGAAGACCCAGGGCGAGCAATGACAGCTGCCTTTTCTAGTTGGTTCCACAGGGCAGAACCAAGAATGATGAGCAGAAGTTGTAAAGAGCTGATTTTAGGCTTGAGGTCAGGACAGTTGTCCTAAAAATCAGAGCTGTCCATAAAGGAGTGCGAAGGGACACCTCGGGACTTGCCAGTAAAGGAGGGACTGACAATCCACAGGGAAAGGCTGGACAACCACCCGTCAGGGGTGCAATAAGGAGGATCCTTGTTCAGGCCTGGGTTGGACTAGATGGTGGCAGGATACCTTCTACCTCTAGAAAAATTCTGGATGGGGGAGGGGGCCTCTACCCATTCCTCCTGCCTGCCGTAAACCATGCTCTTCTGACCAGATAGAATCATAGATGTAGCACTGAAAGGGGACTCAACAGGCATCTGGCCCCAAACCTCTTCTTTTACAGATGAGGAAACTGAGGCTCGTAGAGATTAAGTGACTTGACTGAGGTCACACAGGTAGTCAGTGACAGGCCAGGGCTGACTGCATAGCCCTCCCCCTTGGAGCTGGATTGTCTAGTGTCACGTGCTCATTTAGCAGATGAGGCTGTGCCTCGCAGGTGGCTCCCACGAGACAGGACAGGGAGAGGTCGGTGAGGCTGGAGAAACATGGTCTCAGACCCTTAGTGAATGGATTTATACAGCGTCGCCTTTGTGCCTAGCGGAATGAAGAATGAGCAGCCATGTGCTAGGCAGGCAGCGTGGGCTTGATATTTAACCCTCGGCCAGCTTTTTCTGTGACCTGCTCCCTCCTAGCAGTCTTCCCACCCTCCTCCACTCCCCTCCATCCACCCCACCCGCAGCTGCTGAAGCTATAAAAGTCATTCTACAACCAATGAGGAATGATGGTCCCTGAATCAATTGTTTGGAGTATGTGCTCTACCCCACGTCTCCACCAGGGGGCAGGTTGGTATAGCGGAAGGATTCCTAGACGGCCAGGTGGTAGCCGTGAGACGCCTGCCGCGGTCCTGACTCTGCGCTTAACAGCTGAAGTCCGCACGAGGCCGTAGGGGTTAGAGTTGGAACGGACCCAGAAGCCATCCAGTCCACACCCTTCATTTTACAGACAAGGAAACTGAGGCCCCTGGCGGAGAGAAGACATTCTTCCAAGGCAATAAATAAAAGGGACCGGATTTGCCCTCGGTGGGTTGGTCAGTCAGTCGACACGCATTTATTAAACGTTTATTTTGTGCTGCACATCACAGACGTGGAGCTGGAAGGCACCTCAGAGTCCAGCCCTCCTCATTTACAGATGAAGAAACTGAGGCCAAGGAAGATGGTGATTTGCCCAGGGCCGCATAGGTAGTAAGCATCAGAAGTGGGACTTGAACCCAGATCTTCCAGATCCGACGTTCTTTCCGCCATGCCAGGGTTTCTTAACTTGGGATCTGTGAACTCGGAGAGATTTCCAGAGGTCCACAAACCTGGATGGAGAAAAAGAAAACAACAAAACCATTTACATCTTTGTCTTCACGGACCTTTGCTTTCCTTTGTTACGCTCTGTGTTTTATTTCATGCCTTTAAAAACTTGATTCTAGGGGGCAGCCAGGTGGCACAGTGGATAGAGCACCGGCCCTGGAGCCAGGAGGACCTGAGTTCAAATCCGGCCTCAGACACATAACACTCACTGTGTGACCCTACTGCCTAGCCAAAACAACCAAACAAACAAATCATGATTCTGAGAAGGGGTCTAAGGGCTTTTCCACACGCTTCCCAAGGAGTCTGAGTGAGACACACAGAAACTGAAGACGGTCTCCCCTCCACCCCTCTCGCCTCCTTACAGCTCTCCTAGCCTTACAACGCACTTTCCATAGATGATCTCATTTGCTCCTCCCCATACTCCAAGGAAGGTCTCACCCCCATTTTACCGATGAGGAAAAGGAGACAAAGAGAGGTAAGTGTCATGCTGCCTCTTCCAGCAATCTTGAGCAGGTCACCTGACAAGATGTCGGGGTTGGAAGGGACTTTGGGGGCCTCTGGTTCAGCCCATCACTGAACAAGAATGTCCTCGGTCTCCCACCGTCCAGCCTTTGCTCGAAGATCCCACTTGAGGATTCCACGCAGATTCAGAGGCTTTAACCTTTGTTGTGGCATGGAGCCCTTGGGCGGCCTGGTAAAGCCTGCGGCCTCCTCTGCTTAATTATGTTGTTAAAGATATGCAGTAAAGTACACAGAATTACAAAGAAAACCAGCCATGCTGAAACAGCTAGCCCAGCTTTTTTAAACCTCGCTGACCCTGGTTTAAGGGCTCTTGCTTCCTTGTTAGGAAGTCTTCCCTGATATCAAGCCTAAATCTGCCTCTTTGTAGCTTCTGCTCATTGATCTCTAGGCCTCGGTTTCCTTATCTGTAAAATGAGGCAGTTAGACTCAATGATTCTAAACTTCCTTCCTTTTCTTGTTGTTGATTTAGCCATTTGAGTTGTGCCCGACTCTTTGTGACCCCATTTGGGGTTTTCTTGGCAAAGATGCTAGAGAGGTTTGTCATTTTCTTCTCTAGCTAATTTATAAATGAGAAAACTGAGGCAAACAGGGTTATGTGACTTACCCAGGGTCACACAGCTAGGAAGTGTCTGAGGCCAGATTTGAACTCCGGAAAATGAGTCTTCCTGACTCCAGGCCTGGGGCTCTATCCACTGTGCCATCTAACTACCCCTTCCTCCTCTAGCATTCAGCGATTCCATCGGTTCTTTCAGTGGGCTGTGAGCTCCTTGGGAGGTCTCCTTCCCATTCCCCTCATATGCGCACTGGGTATGTTTAGGGAGATGGAGAAGAATGGATCACTGCCAGCTCAGATGGTGCCTTTGAATGCCAGGTGGGAGAAGGCCACTAGAATCCTCTCACCCTCTCAGCCCTCAGGTGCCAGAGCTGCTTCAGCCATTTCAGAGAGACGCCCGAGGGGGCCAGGAAGCAGGAGCTCCTGGGCTGTTGTCAGAGGCAGAAATCCTAAGACAGCAGCTGCAGAAGGAGAGAACCTTGGGGCAGGAGCTGGAGCAGCGACTTCAGAGCCTCATCTCAGTGAGAGACCCTACTAACTAACTCACCCAGCCCCAGGCCACCAGATTTTTGCCTGGGTGTATCGCTGGTCCTCAGCTGGTCTGTCTCCCCCTTATCCCTTCCATTCTCCAGCCCCTGCCTCTGAAGGACATACCTGGGGATGGTTGGAGATGGAAAAGTCCAGGGTCCAGGATCCATGTCCCTCTCCTGCCCTCTCCTCCTGCCTTGTCCACCTCCTGCCCAACCCTCTAGAACATGGGGATTTCTTTGCAGGACCTGCAGGAGCTGAAACTGAGGAAACCAGAAGAACACAAGGTAGGGTCCTGGGATCCTGAGGAGTGAGAGGGCATCTTGTCCTGGGCCCTCCTCCCAGGGAGCACTGTGCCTAAAAGGAGTCAGTTGGGTCAATCCTAGACAATCTGTCAAGGTCCTAGAATCAGGACCTTGGGCAGAGGAAGAGTCTCTTTTTCAGAGGCCTCAGTCCACAGCTGCCATGATGGTGGGTCACAGAGATGAATTCTGGGGCCTTCCTTGGGGGAAGGAGCCAAAGCCCAAGACCTTTTCCAGTCTCAAATTCCCTGAGCCTCTGAACCCTGGACAGTGCAGGTTCTATCAACCACCATTAATCACAAAGCCAAGTTCAACCCATTTTCACTGAGCCCCAGTGTGTGGCCAGCCCCACACTCAGCTACACTTATCAGAGACTAGAAGAGATAAAGGGTTCTCTTCCCAGGGAGCTCTCAGTATGCTTGGGGAGACAAGGCCCACAGATGGACCAATTAAAGAACAATTCAAACCTGGAAATCTGATTATATTCTGTAGGAATTCAGGTAAAATCTTATATTTAGAATTAGAAAGGACCTTACTAGCCTCCTAGTCCAACTTAATAGCTGCCTAGTCCAGTTTTACAGATGAGGAAACTGAGGCCCAGAAAGATTAAGTAATTTACCCAAAGTCAGTGTCAGGGATGAGATTTGAACTCAGGCTCTCTGACTTCATGTCTAGCATACTTTCTGCTGTACCATGATGCTTCTCCAAAAAGCTAAGGGGTTTCTATTCCAGGAGTCCAACCCAAGAGTCTTAACTTAGGACTTAGGAGAGCACCCGAAGGTTTCCACAGGAGTTCAGTCCAAGCTGAATCAGTCAGAGGAGACATGCTGAGGGAGGTAGGAGGCAACCCCGGTGATAGCAAAAAGGCCACTCTGCCCCACAAACTGTCTTCCATCAGTGTGCCTGAGATCCTGACAGAATCACTCCTGGCTAGTCAGTCCCTCCTCTGGGTCAGCTTATCTTCAGGCCTCGTCCTCCTGTCTCTGTCTGTCTCCAGGCTTCCCAGGACTCCGGACAGCAGGGAGTAGAGACCGCCGAGAGTCAGGTATTCCCAACTCTACCTGCCATCTCCATGCCCCTGCATTCCCAAAGCCTCTCTCCTGAGCTGGGCAACTTCCCCAAAAGAGACAGGGCTCCATGCAATTCCAGGGCTTGGGGAAGGGTGGCTGGGCCTTCATGAGACCCAAGTGAGGTGACTGGGCATGGAGGTAGAGAATCAGAGGACAGGTAGGAAGGAGCCAAGGAGCCGCTGTATTGGGCGATTGAGCAGAAAAAAATCAAAGAGCTCACACAACTCTGCCCCTGGTTCTGGAATCATCCGTGCCCTGCTACTTCCACAGACCTCACCCTTCTTCAAGTTCCCTTGAGACAGTTCAGTTGAGTGAAATGAACCTTGGGTTTGGAGTCCTAGGGCCTGGGTTTGAATCTCTGCTCTGCCAACAAATTACCTAAGTTCTCAGACTCATCTATAAACTGGGGACATTTGTGCTTGAAAGGGTTGTGAGGGTGAGGAAGCCTCTCCTTTCTTCCAAAGCTCCCTGCCAGGGCTGGGAACCCAGGGGCTCAGCAGTGTTGGTCCTGGGGTGGGTCATTTCCATATTCTCTGGCCACGTGTGGTTGCCTTGAGTTCTACGCTTCAAGCCGCCAAGTCTTTCCAGGGGCCTCCTGGGTAACCAGGAGCCGAGAGATGGGAGATGGGGAGATGGAAAAGCTTCAGATCTTGTCCGTGGGAAAACTCTTAATCTGGCTGGAAAGATACACACAGGAGCTGATGAGAGAGCAATTCTGCTGCCCATACGGCCATGGCAATAAAAAATAAGAATGAAAGAATCAGAGTAACTGACATTTACGTAGTGCACAGTTAGGGTTTAGACAGTGCTTTCCCTACACTTTCTTTTTTGATCCTCATCACAACTCTGTGGTCTGGGTGCTCTTATCACTCCCATTTTACAGGTGAGATCATTAAGGATCAACAAGGTTAAGTGACTTTCCCTGGGTCACACAACTAGTTATGTATCAGAGTAGAATTCAAACCCATATATTCCTGGCTTCAAATCCCATCCACTGCATGAAAATGCCTCCAAGTTCCAGAGAATTTCTAGAATCTAATGTCTGGAGTGGGGCAGATAAGGGGCAGAGGAGTGCAGGTGGGGTGTGGTTCAAGGCACGGTTCCTGGAAGATGTGTGACTGAGCTGGCTGGCTTCAATTGGGAGAAAAACAGGCATTCCAGACAGTGGGGAGAGCATGAGGTTGGAATCGACATTCCAAGGGATTAGGTGGAAGGCCACTGGAAGTCTGGCCTCCATAGTGTGGGATGGATATTAGGGAGATCAGGAGGGACCATGGGATGTCTGTCTGTATGGGGTGTCCATTTTACAGATGAGGAAAATAAAGCCCAAAGAAGAGAAGAGACTTCCCCAGGTGAAGTGCCTCGAAGGTCATTTCTTCCCACTTGCCACCTGGCATGGCAGGAAGCAGTAGTGGAGGCAAAGGGAGGGGGGCCTGAGATTAAGTGCTCACGCCTTCCTGGGCCCTCCTGCTCACCCTCCTCTCCTCCTTCTCTCTAGCTCAGGGAGAGCAGACAGGAGAACCTAAGGTTGGAGCTCCTGGTGTCATCTCTACAGCAGAAGCTGGAGGACAAGTAAGGGCCTGGGGCTGTGTGCTGGAGGGTGGAGAGGAAAGAAGACAGGCTGGGGAGACAAGAAAGGGACAAAGTGAGCTTCAGCTCGCCTCTCCCATGCTGGTCACCCAAGGCCTGCCTCAGCCAACCCAACCCTCCCTCCTTCCTGCCCTCACTCTCTCCAAGGCTCCTCGGGGCCAGGCTTTCCATGCCAGGCTCTCTGGGCCTTATAAGGGGATAAGTCAGCTAAGCTGCTTCTGCTCGTAGAATATCCCAAGAGGGCAGCACCTTTCCCGATCTTTGCCCCTCTCCCATGCAGCATCTGGACATGGAAGCCTGGCCTTCTGTCCAGGGCAGGACCTTCCACGGCCTTCCCAGGAGGGCTCAGCAGCCTCTGCCTGCAATGAGTCACAAGGGATGAGAGCTTTCTGCTTACTGGAGCAACTCGGGACGTTTTCAAAATTGTTAGAAACATACTTAATTTTTTTAAATCTTTAGCTGAAATCTGCCTTCTGCCTTCTACCCACTGGCTCTAATCCCCCTCTGTCAGCAGAGTCAGGATGCTTTTCCTCCCTCTTCCACATGAAAGCCTTCGGATATTTGAAGGCTCCACAAACACACACACACACACATACACACACCTTATGTCCCATGAGCACACACACACACACACACACACACACACACATACTCACACATACTCCTTATGTCCCATGAGCACCTACTCATTCCCAGGGGGACACAGAACACAAAGGCAGCAGAATCTTTTTCCTAGCAGAGACTCTGGGTCTGGGGTGGTGGGAGCAGGGTGCTGCCCATCGTGGCCAGCCAGTTGTAAGCTTCATCATCTATCTGAGGCAAGGCTGCAAAGGTGTCGTCCTTCTAGAAGAATCAAAGGAAGAAAAGGAAGTGAAGGTGGGGAGGTGATCAGAGGGTCAAAGAGCTAATACTTTGATCAGTCTGCAACATGGACCCAGGAAAAGGTGCTGTGTGGATAGAGGCAGAGGCCTGGAGACTTGGTCCCTGCCTTTAGAGAGCTCCTCATCTAATGGGGGAAGCATGGCACTTGGTCTTGGGAAGCTGCAGAGCAGGCATTGTCCTCTCCTTGCCCCCAAGGCCTCTCTTGTCTCTTGGGAAATAAAAGGGCACTTTTCAGTGGAAGTTGGCACATCCTGAGTGCTCCTGGGTGGGGGTGGGACAGGGGGTGCCAGTCACAGAGAAGGAACTGTCTGCATTCCCCCTGTGCCTAGAGCAAACTGGCTGTGGGCAGCCTTGCCTCACAGGTACACACTGGGCCAAGAGCCCCAGGGCATTATGCAGGTGGTGCCAGAAACTAGAAGGGAGGTTGGGCAGGAGGGAGGGAGGACCTGCACCAGAGGGGCCATGGGGCTAAATAACCCTTCCTGAAAGCCTGGGCTCATGTCCTCTGTTCACACCTGCTCTGAAGACAGCCCCTGTCAGCCTCAATATGTAAGGAATACACACTTCTCAAGTTCTCAGGCCCAGCATCCCCTCCAAAGTCCCCCCATGCTCCCAAGCACACAGTTTTTTCCCCATGAAATTTGGGACCAGTTAGCTCAGGAGGTAGCATGTGATATCTAGTTCGGTCTCACGTGAGAAAGCCAGCTTCTCCAGGTACTTTGCAGCCTTATTCCATCCACAGACTGAGCGCTAAGCCTAGGTATAGACTGACCCTTAATCTTGGCCCCAGCGTAACCCTTCACTAACCCAGCAAGCTTTCAGAGACAGGGTTAGGGTTGGGGACCCAGAGTGGGAGTGTGGAAGGCTCAGTGTAGCCAGGTCATCCTTGGACAGTTCCAGAGCCTGCTCCAGGTTGGGCCTGGAATAATAGAGATTTCTCTCAGCTCTCCTTTGCTGCACCACCCCCCCTTTTTTAGAAGGAGCTGTCTGGCAGAAGTGAGCAAGGTGGGCTCATAGTGCTAGATGGGACCTCACAGGCCACCTATTCCAAGCTCCTTGATTTTACAGATAAGGAAAATGAGGCTGGGGGTTAAGGGTCATGTGAGCAACTGCCTCTGAAAGTGGCTGGTCTAAGCTTCTGCTTGTGCCTGGGGTTAGGGATCCATCTGTGGGTGGTGTTCACCGATCTGGGCCTCAGTTTCTTCAGGGCGTGCTAGAGATGCCCTGTAAGGGTTAAAGTCACACAGCTGGTGATGACAGTCAGTGTCACCAGGACCTCAGCTAGTTTTCAGTTCCCATTGAGAGACCCTGATGAGGAGGAGACCGTGAGCCTTTCCTAGAGCAGTTGGGCATTTGAAATTTTAAATGAAAATCTGTGTCCACAGGGAGCAGGCACTGAGGGAGCTCCTGACCCCAAGGACCTCTGAGCAGAGGGAGACAGAGATGACACCCTCCTCCCTGCTTAAGGTAGCTGCGGAGGACACAGCCATAGGGGAGGGGACAGGGCTGGGGATTGGAGCCAGGTGAGGGTGGGAGGCCTGGCCAAAGGGGCAGGAGTGGGGACAGGGATGGAGTCCCTAGACAGGGTAAAGAGGAGGATTTTCAGAAACATGGATTGATCTTGAGTCCCAGGTTCAAATTCCTTAGTTACTGGAAACTGACCAAAAATGGCTTTGACAAGATGGTTCATGGAATGCCAATGTGCTCATATCTAGAAACTACCCCTTAACTCCCAGCCAGGCTTCAGCCAGTTGGTCCCAGAAGAGCTGAAGAGGGGCCCCCGAGCTGGCTGGGAGGGGGTTCCCCAGGGCCACTGCACTCACTGTAACACCTTCCTGGAACAGCTGGACAAAGTGCTTCGAAGTGAGTTCCCCTTGACCTCTGCCTGGGGTTGGGGGCAGAACTGGGTCCATTTTCAGTGTGATGCCCGAGCATCATTTTATTAGAAATGGTTTGTAGTCTTATAGAACCATAGTGAGTCGGAGCCAGAAAGGATCAACTGCTTTTTAAGGAAACTGAGGCCGGGAGAGACTGTGACTTGTCTAAGATGGCTCAGAAAGGTTGTGCCAAGAGGATGAGCACCCTGATTCCTGATTCCTGAGTTGCTCACAGGCTCTAGACCCTTCTGTTTCGCATGGGCTTTGCAAATGTACATGTATTTGTACATCACTTACAAACCATGCCTTTCAAGAGAATTCAGGATCCTTGTTTCTCTGAGGGTGTGGCTGTCTCTTCTTGGCCCCCCTGAGCTAAGTTCCCCTCCACAGTCAGTGCCAGGGCTGGGATGAGGGTTTAGGGGTGACCAGGGCTGGGATGAGGGTCTGGGGGTGACCAGATCTGGGATGAGGGTCTGGGGTACCCGGAGGGACTGTGAGCTTCTAGCTTGGGGCCCTGGGATGTCTTCAGGTTGGGAAGCATCTTCAAAGCCAGCAGAGGAGAAGCCACAGGCACTGGGGAAACCCCAGAAAGTCTTGGGGGTGAGTGAGTGCTATCCTCTTCCCCTGCCCACTTCCCTCCATTTTTCAGAGCACAAGGCTCCCTCCTCCCAGACTAGAAAGGCCCCAAGCATTTCCTTCCAGGATCCAGTCATGGGCCAGAGGTAGGGTGGGAGGGAACAACTTGGAACAGGAGTAGGTTGGCTGGGTGGTCCCAGCACCCACCCCCTCCATCGGTCTTCTCCCCACCTCTTCCCCAAGAGGTGGCTGGGTAGAGCAATGGATAGAGCACCACTGGCCTTGGAGTCAGCCTAGACCTGAGCTCAAATCCTTCCTGAGACACTGACTACTACTAATAGTGATCATGTGATGTTTTACATGTGCTGTCTCCTCTGATCCTCACACCAACCCCACGATGGCAGTGCTATTATTCCCATTTTACAGATGAGAAAACTGAGACTGAGGAGTTAAATGACTTGACCTGGGATACACAGCTAGTACAGTCTGAAGGAGGATTTGAACTCAGGTTTTCCTGATTCCAAGACACTCTATCCCTTTTACCATCTAGTTGCCTCATGGGACCAGGGGCAGGTCTTTTCATCTCAGTCAACTTCAGTATCCTCATCTGTAAAATGAGGGGGTGGGAGAGGGGTTGGACTCAATGCCCCCTAAGGACCCTTCTAGCTCTAAATCTGTGATCATGTGATCTGCGATCCCAGAGTCCCAATAAGCATGCCCCAAAGGGGGGCCGAGCTCCCGGGAGTGACCTCAGGGACATTGAGCGGGTTAAGCAGCAGCATCGGCTGGTGACTGAGCAGGTATGGGGCAGGTCTGCTTGGAGGTGGAGGGGCTGTGGGGCTGGGGGAGGAGGCAGAGGGCCTAACCCCAAAAGGAGGGCTTTCAGTCTCTGGCTGGCCTTACCCCAGGATCTACCTATAAGGCTTTTTTTTTTTTTTTGGCTAGGCAATGGGGTTAAGTGACTTGCCCAGGGTCACACAGCTAGTAAGTGTTATGTGTCTGAGGCTGGATTTGGACTCAGGTCCTCCTGAATCCAGGGCCAGCCACCTAGCTGCCCCTGTAAGGCTTCATTTTGAGGGCTGTGGAGAAAACACATCCCTAAGTAGCATCCCCAAGGACCTGATACAGTGTGTGAAATGCCCCCATTAGAGCTCAACCCTTTTTAGTTTGGCATTGCCCTTCCAGGCTCCCGAAAGGGAGAACAAACTTAGCCCCCCCCAGCCTACAGAGAAGGAGAAAATCAGACGTGCCTCCCTGGCTGTGGTGGACTGAAATATAGCCAGCCCAAAAAGGAAAGTGAGAAATCAGAGACCAAGTCACCTACACTTGCAGAGATCACCAGTAGACTGCAAATAGTCCTACAACAGGGCAGACAGAGATGATGGTCTCTGTCCAGAAATCCTGGCTCCTTATAGAATGTCTTCTTTGGGTGGGGAACTCAGAGCTGGCCTTGGGGGTGCCCTCGTTACCCCAGCCCACTCACTTGCAGCCTCCCCATTCAGCTCCATCTTCCTCTCACAATTCAGTTGCAGGATCTGTTTGGGGAGAGACGGGAGAGGACCGGCAAGGCTGGGCAGCCCCCCAGGGAGTGGCCAGAGGGAAGCTCTGGGGATCAGGGGACCAAGAAGCCCCCAGTGGAGCAGGTGAGAACCAGTCCCCCTCTCCAGTCTGCCCAGCCACATCCCAAACCCAGTCCTCTATCCTCCTGCTGGTTCCCGGCTCCTCCTCAAATCCTACTAGAAGAATGGTCCAAGGCAGACGCTTGGGAGGGGTGGGAGCTCGCTCCTGGTCATGAAGAAAAATCACAATTTAGTCCAGTTTGAATCAACAAGTCACTAGTTCTACTGGGATTTTGAGGATTTTGTAGAATTTTGAGCAAAAATGGACCATACTATTTGGTCCATCCCTGACATTTTACAGAAAAGGTGACTGAGACCCAGAAGAGGGGAATGACTTGCCCCAGAGTGGCAAAACCCAGGCCAGGTTCTCTGACACGAAACAGTAATTAATATGTATGTAGTGATTGTCCAGCGTGCTCTCCTCTCATCAGAACCCCACAATGACTCTATGAAGAGAGTCCGATTTTATAGATGAGGAAGTTGAGGCCTGGAGTGGTTAAGGGACTTCTGGGTCACACAGCTAGATCTGGAGTCAGAACTGGGTCCAAATCCCTGCTCTACCATCGTATGACCATGGACAAGTCATGGGACTTAACTGCGTCTTTGCTCAACTGGAAAATGATGGGATTGGCCTGGGTGTGTCCAAGGTCACTTCCCGCTCTAGTCAGTGACCCCAAGGATTAAAACCCGCTTTTCCTGACTCCAAGCCCGTGTCCACACCTGCTATTCACTGTTGCTTGTCCAGGGGTTTCTCCTAGAGGCAAAAGGCTATCTCAGAGCCCTAGAGCTAGGGGATGAAAGTCTGGTGCCCAGGGCAATCTGTGTGAGAGGGGCACGGAGGGGACGTGCCACTTCCCAGCCCACTGCTAAGTCAGTAGGTGTCTGTTAAGCACCTGCTATGTGCTGGTACTGTGCTAAGCACTGGGAATACAAAAAGAGTCAAAAGACAGTCCCTGCCCTGAAGGAGCTCCCAGTCTAAGGGGGAGGCAACAAGCAAACAGATATATACAAACAAGACATGTGCAAAATAAATGGCAATTAATTAAGAGAGGGAGACCAGAAGAATTAAGTGGGTTTGGGAAAGGCTTCCTGGAGAAGGTGGGATTTTAGCTGGGATGTGAAGGAAGCAGGAGGCAGAGAAGGGGAGAGAGAACATTCCAGGCATGGGGAATGGCCAGGGAAAATGCCCAGAGCCAAGAGACGGAACATCCAGGAGGCCAGCATCACTGGGCCAAGGGGAGTGAGGTGTAAGAAGACCAGAAAGGTAGGGAAGTTGTGAAGGGCTTCGAATGCCAGACAGAGCATTTTGTATTTGTTCCTGGAGGCAATAGGGAGATGCTGGAGGTTATTGAGCAGGGGAGTGACTTGGGCCTGTGTTTAGGACAATCTCTGGTGGCGGAATAGAAATGGATTGGAGTGTGGGGAGACTCGGGCAGGCAGAGCCACCAGCAGCTACTGCACTAGTCCAGGCATGAGCGATGAGGGCCTGCACTAGAGTAGGGGGCAGCGTCAGCAGGGAAAAGGGGGCATAGGCTTTGGCAGCAGATTAGATATGGGGGGTGAGAAATAGAGCTCGTACCCGGGACTGAGAGCGGCTGCGTCACCCCCACTCTGGACTGAACGGATTTGCAAAGAGGCAGGTCCTGCTCCTGCACTTGGCCTGTCCCCAGATGGCTCCCTCTTTTTGGCAGCTTGTGGTAGAGGCTAACTCCCAGCCCTCTGCTTCTTTCTGGGCTGATTGTGCTGTGAAGGTACCCAGTCTGTGGGCAGAAGGTGTTCCAGTGTGATCGACAGAGAAGAGGGGGTCCTTAACTAGAAAACCTCCAAGGTTCCATCCAGCTTTGAGGGGCTGAGATTCTGGGAGGCAGGAAATGATGGTACTTAGGAAGGCCTCCTCATTATCATAGAGAGATGGGAGTAGGGCAGGAATGGGGATTCCTGGCCAGATTGATCAGTGAGGACAGTCTGTAGCAAGGAGTTTAGACCTCAGCTCTAGAGGTCCACTGGGAAGCTAAGATTTTCTTTGTACGCCTCTTTGTCTACTCCATAATTTTCTCTTCCCCTCCCCTAGGCCTCCTGGACTCTGTTCTGTCTCCCTCCCACATCTGAACAGAGCCCAGGAAAGCTTTGGGATCCATCACCAACCCTGCTTAGGGGGAGGGATTCTCCACCTTTTTTATATTATAACCCCTTTGGGCAAATCCGGTGAAGCCTATGGACCCCTTCTCAGAATTAAATGCATTACATAAAACACATAGGATTACGGAGGAAACCAATTATATTGAAATAGTTACAAAAAATGATTTTTTAAGTCCATGGACCTTGGGTTAAGAACATTTCTGTCACATGTTTCGCCTTGTCTCTGAGTTCCCTCCCCCAGGGGAATGTATTTTCTAAGCCTCAGCTTTCTCCTTGGGGTGAAGCAATCTCAGGTCTCAGCCGGTAAGAAGGAGGATTGGGGAGGAGTCATTGGGGGTGGGAGGGAGGTGGGACTTCCCCAGGTTTCCTAGAATCGTCCAAGGCTAAGCCTGCTCAGTGACATTCCTCCTCCCATTCTCCCTGCAGCTAAACTGAGGTTCCATTGGCAAACCCAGGAGCTCTACAGCCTTCCTCAACTGCAGTGGGCGTTGCAGAAAGGGTTCGGTCTGATTCATCCTGGGCCCCAAGACAGACTGGACCTGGAGGGATCTTACTGGAATAGTCTGGAGTGGAATTGGCAGACACAGGCCTCGGACTTGGTCAGGAATCTGCCAGGGTGTTTCAGACCACTTCAATTTGCCAGGGCTTCAGATCTTCCTCAGAAATGGTCCACGGGCCCTTGGCCTTCAGCCCCAGGACTGTCTCCCTTACTAATCCCTATGAAAATAACAATATCATCTTGTATATGGTCTTAATATTTACCAAGCACTTTCTTCACTACAACTTGGTGGGGGAGATGATATCTCCATCTTACAGATAAGGAAACTGAGGCAGAGGGTAAGTGACTCACCAAGGGTTACACAGCTGTTACACAGCTATTAAGTGTCTGAGGCAGGATTGGAACTCAGATCATCTGACCCCAAGTCCAGAGCTCTTTTTCATGATTCCGTGCTGCCTTCTAAAATCTTCTCATCCCTCATCCCTGGCTCAAGGATCATAGAAATAAATTAAGAGCTGGATGGGAAGGGCCTATCTCCTCGGTTTTACAGCTGAGGAATCTGAGATTTCAAAGAGGGTCAGTGACTGGTCCAAGGTCTCATAGTGGCAAGGCAGGATTAGAACCCTGGTCCGACTTTCTACTACAAGCAAGTAACCACCGGCTCAACAAGCAGTCGTGTAGGATGTGCTCGGTGCTAGTGAAATCCTTCCTGCCCTCGAGAAGCTTCCATTCCGGAGCGGAAGACAACAGGCACGTGTATGGGAGCACCCTCTCCATCCCCTGGGTCCTGACCCACGCGCACTTGGTCTCTTCTGCCGCTGACGCCGTGACCAGCAGGCCCCCCTTCCCTTCGGCCAGTCCGGCCACCCTGGATTTCACAAAGGAACATGGTCAGTGCAAGAGAATGCTTCAGGGCCGGGCGATGGGGAAGACTCACCTGAGCCGAGCAACGCGAAGGAAATCTTGTCCTCAGTAGCTACAGTTAGCACCCCCAGAACGAAACAGCAGGATGCTGGTGATCACGAGCAAAGCAGTCCTTGGGGAAGAGAGAAGCTGAGAAAATGCACTTCCCCACGTCCTGTGCAGAGGAGGGGGCTTTGGGTGTGGGGCGCTGCAGGTACTGCTACGCTCAGGTGAGACGGTGCTTAACTTCCTGAAAGGGTTTTAAAAATGCTAACTTTTGGGGAGAGATGGGGTTACAAACCGATCTCTGGATGGGGGTGGATAAGGGATTTATTTGGAATGAAGATGATGTAAAAACAAAAGGTATCAATTAAAAAATGTTTAAGGTACCAATGAATAAGTCTTCATGGTCTATCCAGGTGGTTTCCACCTTTTGAGTGTCTCCTATATCCCTAAAATTCCCCCAGGGCTTATACCGCAGTCAGACTGATTCCCTTCTCTGGCAGAAGCCCACACGATCTACTTCAGTTGCCTCAGGCCGCTAAAGAAGAACAGGTTCCCATTCCACCCCTCGTCCCACCCCCACCATCCCGTGATCAGTTGAGGATGGTGAGGACCTGGGAGGGGTCTGGGAAGAAGAGTGCCATTGCTGTCGTGTGGAAGAGGGACTGGCCTTGTCTGCTTGGCCTCTGAGGGCAGAGCTAGAAACAATTAGTGGAAATTGCAGGAGCACATTTAAGTTTGACGACAGAAAAAAAAAATGAAAACTCTCATAGAGAAGTTTCAAAGTGGAAAGGACACCTACTGGGCAGTGAGGGTCCTCTCAGGAAAGGGTTTTCAAACAAAGATTGAATGGCCCCCTGGTGAGGGATTTTTGTTGTCCAGTCGCTCAGGCAAGTCCAACTCTTTGTGACCCCATGGACACAATGTGCCTGGCCCTTCTATCCTCCACTTCTCCCAAAGTCTGTCCAAGCTCACATCTGTTGCTTCCATGACACTACCTACCCTCCTCATCTTCTGCCATCTCCTCTCTCCTTTTGGCTTCAGTCTTTCCCCAAATCAGGGTCTTTTCCAAAGAATTCTCTCTTCTCATTATGTGGCCAAAGTATTTAAGCTTCAGCTTCAGTATTTGACCTTCCAGTGAATCGCCTGAATTAATTTCTTTAAATGTTGACTGATTTGATCTCCTTGCTTTCCAAGGGACTCTCAAAACTCTTTTCTGGCTCAACTCAAAAGCAACTGGGAGGTGCCTTGACTGGAACTGATGAGAGAATGCTGACATTGGAGTCTTGGGACACAGGTTGGAATCTCAGCCCCATACTTCCCAGGGTGCCCTTGGCCAAGTCACTCTCTATAGGCCTCAGATTCCTCATCTGTAAAATGAGGAACTAAATGACCTTTAAAGTCTTCTAGCTTATTTTTTTTTCCTTTAAATTCAATTTGCTTTCAGGTTTGAATTCTCTCCCCCTCCCCCACTGAGAAAACAAGAAAAACTCAGCCACAAACACGTGTAGTCAAGTGAAACAAATCCCTTTATTGGCCATGTCTAAAAAAATATGCCTCAGTCTGCACTCTGAGTTCATCCCCTCCCTATCTGGAGCTAGGTGGCATGTTTCATCATAACTCCTCTGGAATTGTGATTGGGCATTGTTTGGTCAGAGTTCCTAAGTCTTTAAAAGTTGTCTTTACAATATCGTTGTTATTGTACAATTTGTCTTCTTGGTTCTGATCACTTCACTCTGAATCAGTTCCTACAAATTCCCCCAGGTTTCTCTGAAACCATCCTCTTCATCATTTTTTATAGCACAATAGTTTTTCATTACATTTATATCCAATAACTGGTTTAGCTGTTTCCCAATTGATGGGTACTCCTCCAGTTCCCACTTCTTTGCCACTATAAAAAGAGCTGCTATTAATATTTTGGTACATATGTGTCCCTTTCCTCTTTGGGGTATAGACTCAGTAGTATCAATATCTCTGGGTCAAAGGGTACACAGAGTTTAATAACTTTGGGGGTATAGTTCCAAATTGCTTTCCAGAATGGTTAGACCAGTTCATAGCTGCACCAAGAGTGCATTAATGTAGGTATTTTCCTACATCTCTCCTAGCATTTGTCATTCTCTATTTTTTTTGGTCATCTTTAACTTTGCCATTCCAATGAGTATGAAGTGGGACCTGAGAGTTCTGTGGTCTTCTAAGCACCCTTGTGATCTTCTAAGCAAGTTCCACTAAGTGAGGATTTGGGCAGAAGTCGCTAAAGAGTGTTCTGTGACTGGAAGAGGAAGGAAGCAAGCATGAAGCAATAGATGGTTCACTGGTATCTCAAAGACATAGAAGGGCTCAGAGGAAAGACTGAGACCCAGGCAAATCTTCTGGAGAGGAATTGTCAAAAGATAAGAATCCTCAGGAATTTTGTATTAATTAGCTAAATATCTCTCTTCCCCCTGTCCAAAGAGGGTGTGTGTGTGTGTGTGTGTGTGTGTGTGTGTGTGTGTGTGTGTGTGTGTGTGTGTGTGTATGGGGAAGGGGGGACACACAGGACTTACCATACTCAGGTAAAGTTGTCTTATCTCCCCTAGAAAAAAGAATCATTTACTCAACACTCAATTCACCCTTCAAATATTACCAAAGACACTCCCTTTCATGATGCCCACTTCTTCCTTGACTGATAGCCCTCAGTACAGAGACACCTAGGCTTGGAGGCAGCTAGGTGTGTTGGACCTGGAGTCAGGGAGACCTGAGTTTAAATGCTGTCTGTGATGCTTTCTAGTTATATGATGGATCAAGAACTATTCCTGGAGCCAAGATGGCAGAGGACAGGCAGCAACCCAGCTGAGTTCTTTCAACATTCCCCTCCAAACAACTTTAAAATAATGCCTCAAGTCAAATTTTGGAGCAACAGAGCCAATGAAAGATGAGAAGGAAACATTTTTCCAAGCTAAGACAACGTAGGAGGTCGGGAGAAGTCTGTGACGTGGGGTGGGGGCAGCCAGGGCACACACGGTGACAGCACCAGCAGCAAGCTTCAGCCTTCGGATGTTGCCATGACAGCAGCAGCGGTAGCTGCAGGGGCTCTCCACCGAACAGCAGTAAGGGGATTGGACAACTGGCCAGAAGGAGAATGCAGGGGACCCTTTGCTGGCACTGGGTATAGCTGGCACTGACTAACAACTCTGTTGTCCATGAGCAGTTGTGGGTGCTGTGCTCTACCTGGCTGCCCAACGAGGACAGCTATGTGATGCATTGGGGGTGCGGAGAAGACGTCCAGTTTGGGTGTTCAAATGGAGTAATGCCCCCCAAAATGTGCCAGGGTAGTTAGCACCCAACAAATACCCTCATCATCAGGTTTGAAGGATTCCAGACCCCATTGACCTGCTGCTTTGGGGAGGGGGTTTGGTGTATAGATGGAAGTGATGACAGATGGTACCCAGACCTTGGGGGTTGGGAAGCTCTCTGGCTGGGGCAGCTGGAACGAGTTCTTTAGAGAAAATTGATGCTGTCAGGATTTGTCTAGGCTACAGTAGCAATGCATGAAGATTTATTTGTCTGCCCTCTTATATCCTTTCTACCTGACATCCTTTCTTCTGCCCCCATCCCTGATAATAATAGTAACAATAGTTAACATTATATAGCACTTTTTTTTTTTGCAAGGTGATTGGGGTTAAGTGGGTTGCCCAGGGTCATAGAGCTAGTGAGTATCATGTGTCTGAGGCTGGATTTGAACTCAGGTCCTCCTGACTCCACAGCCAGTGCTCTATCCACTGCACCACCTAGCTGCCCTATATAGCACTTTTCATGTTATCATCACAACCACCCCGGGAGAAGGGTAATATAATTATTCCCATTTTTACATATAGGAAAACTGAGGCAGATAGATTTAGTGACTTGCCCAAGGTCACACAGCAACCCAGTAGTGTCTGAGACGATATTTGAATTTAGCTCTTTTGTGATGTCATGCCTAGCACACTATGCATCGTACCACCTCGTTGCTCAAGGTTTCCTCAGAGACCAACATCTCCTCCCTCAGTACCCCTTGTTCCTCTAGCTGCCTCCCGCCCCCCTTGGGGAAGTGAGAAGACTTGAAAGAATCGCAGTGTGAGAACTCCACTGCTCCTCTAACCCAATTGGTGCCCGAAAAACCCTACTCACAATCTCAGCCTGTAAAACTCCCAAGTGGTGCCAAGCCAGATTAAGATGTAATTGGGATATATTTAACAACACGCATGTTAAAATGAGACAACATAGACAATGTTAATTTGTGATCGTCCAAGTCAATCTGCAGCTTGACAAGGACCCATTTCTACCTGAGATTGACACTACTCCACGCGAGACAAGTAGTCACTCAGGCTTTGTCCGCAAACCTCCAGTGACGGGAAAGCCATTCCCTCCAGAGGCGGCCCATTCCACTTTTGGACTGCTCTGGTGGTTAGAAAGTTTTCCTGACACTCATGCATTGTTGGTGGAGTTGTGAAATGATCCAACCATTCTGGAGAGCAATTTGGAACTATGCCCAAAGGACTATAAAAATGTGCATACCCTTTGACCCAGCAATACCACTTCTAGGGCTATATCCCAAAGACATCATACCAATGGGAAAAGGACCTGCATGTACAGAAATGTTTATAGCAGCTCTTTTTTGTGGTGGCAAAGAATTGGAAATTGAGAGGAAACCCATCAACTGGGGAAAGCCTGAACAAGTTGTGGTATGTGAATGTAATAGAATACTATTGTGCTATAAGAAATGATGAACAGGCTGACCTCAGAAAAACCCGGAAAGACTTGTATGGTCTGATGCTGAGTGAAGTGAGCAGAACCAAGAGAACGTTGTACACAATAATAGCCACGTTGTGCGATGACTAACTTTGATAGACTTCTCTCTTCTCAGTAATATAAGGATCTAAGACATCTCCAAAGATCTCACGATGGAAAATGCTATCCACATCCAAAGAAAGAACTATGGAGTTTGAATGCAGATCGAAGCACACTATTTGCTATTTTTTTCCTTCTGTTGAGTTGTGTTTCCTCTTTCTGGTGGTTCCTCCTATTGGTTCTGATTCTTACTTACAACATCACTAATGTGAAAATATGTTTAATAGGAATGTAAATGTATAGCCTATATCAGATTGTGCACTCTTTTGGGGAGGGTGGTGGGGAGGGAGGGGAAAAAATTTTTAAACTCAAAAGCATATGGAAGTGATTGTTGATAAATCAAAATAAATTAATTTAAAAAATAAAAAATAGCTAGGTAAAAAAACCCAACCAAACAAAAAAAAAAGTTTTCCTGGAAGATGAAACTAAATCTGTTTGTGAATTCCATCCATGATGCCTAATGGTAGCCTTTGGGCCATGGAGGAAAGCTAATTCCTCTTCCCCTCCTAAGTGCTGGGCTTGGGAACAGGAGGATTGAGGATTGGCTGAAGGAAGAAGGTAACCTGGAACAGAAAGACTGAAGGTACCAAGATAATGTCCGGATGGTATATGGAAATTAATAGAGATTGACTAATAATTCACATCTTAAGGTTTTTGAAGTGGTTTTAGATTTACAGTTATTTAGTGGGTCAACAATTAATATTAATGAATACTAATCACTTACTATGTGCTGGGCACTCTACTAAATGCTGGGACTACAAAAGAGGCAAAAACATGGTCCCTGCCCTCAAAGAGCTTACAGTCTAATACAGGAGAGAATTCCTAAGTGACTAGGTGCCTACAAAGAGTAGACAGAAGGTAGGAGGAAGGAAGAGGGGGAAGACAGAAGCAGTGGACCCAGAAAGGTGTCTGGCAGAAGGTGGGACTTATAAAGGTTTTAAGTTCGGTCTAATCGTTTACTAAGTGTTTTCCCTACAATCATCTTATGAGGCCTCTAAAGTAGGGAAAACCCTCAACTCCTTAGCCCTCCAGCTCAGAGAGTTGATTATACCCAATCAATCCATTAGGAAAGATTTACTGAGGACTTTACATGTGCCTAGCCTTGTGTCTTGGCATTCATTTTCCTATTGTATCCTCAGCTCCAGTGATATAGGCAGAGTAGGGCAGAGCATCCATTAGACAGATGAAGCAGCTGAGGTACTGATCAGAGGCTTGGAGGAGGCGCCTCTGTCCTTTATCCCTTGCTACTTCTGGCCAGCCTCTCCTGTTTTGGGGCCTTCTTCAGCATCAGCTGTTTCTTGTCCCAGATCCAGAGGCTGCTGCCCGGGGGGGATCTGGCTTTCCTGGGCAGAGGGGGTGCCACTGGGCAGATTCCTGGAGGCTGTGCTGGTACATGTCCCACCAATGTGCACGCCCAGCTGCTGGGGCTTCTGGACCAATTTGGACCCAACCCAGGGTGACAGTTCGGGTCAGCAGGTGCCTCTAGGGATGAATACAGGAGGTGGAGTTAGGAAGACCTGTTCTTGCCCCTGCTACTATTCACCCTTTGCATGAAGAGTCCCTCAGGCCTTAAGCTGCCTTATTTTTGCACCCAGGGGAGAGATATTGGGAGAGGGAGAGATGTGCAGGAAGCCATAATCTCACAGGTCTAACACAAGTGTCTACCTGCATTCCAGAGGAGTTTCCCATCATTCCCAGCAGTTTGCCAGAGCATCTTCCCCGGGATCCTTACCCATCCCCAGGCAAAAGGATGACTATTATCTCCCATTTACAGGTGAGAACATTGACTCCCAGAGAAGGGAATCAATTAGATATTAGGTTTGGGTGTGATAAGACACCAAGTCTGGGGCTTTGCCCACTAGCCCACGTGTGCTCTCTCTCTGAAATGGGTTCTTAACCTTTTTGTGTCATGGTCCCCTTTGGCTGCCCAGGGCCATCTCACAATAATAGTTTTAAAGGCCTAAAATAAAATACCTAGAATTACGATGGAAACCAATTCTATGGAATCTGAGTACAGAGCCCTCCTGGAGAGAGCTTGCATTCCTAAGGAATAATAGCTGGGCAGCAGGAGAGCCTGTCTTCGGGAAGGACTCCAAACCCAGACAGTCTAGGTCATGCGATGTCTGGGCTCTGAAGCTGGAGCAGCCCCTTGCCATGTTCCTGGACCCCGCTCCTGTCCCTACCTGCATGACAGTGAACTGGAAGAAGAGGCTCTGCTCATGGAGGTCTCCAGCAGGAAGGCTGAAGAGGAAGGGAGCATTCCACACTGGGCTGCGTCCCACAATGGCCTGAGTCTCCCGGGAGTCCAGCAGCTGGCCATCCTGGTACAGGCCAATCACCACAGAGTGCTCTGAGAAGAAGGACAGAGAACAGAGATGGAGCAGCCAAGGTGGAATGCGGAGTGGGGTGGGGACATGGATGGCTCTGTGATGGGACAAATGGAGGTTTTTCTCTGAGCTGCCAAGAGAGAAGCGAGAGAAGCTAGAAAACCACAGCATCTTAGAGTTAGAAGGTGCTTGAGAGGTCAGCTAACCCAACCCCTCTTCCAACAAAGGAATGCCCTCTACGGTTTCCTCGGCAAGTGATCACTCAGCCTCCATGTGGGTACCTTCAGTGTATTAGCAGCTAGCTCATTCATTCCTCTTCAAACCATTGACATACTCAGGAGGGGTCTGAAGAGTTAGATTTGGGCCAGGGCAGGGAGGGGTTGAGGTCAATTAATTCATTCCCCCTTCCTCACCACCCTTGACCCTGGGTCTTCCCTGCCTGCCCATTCCCAGTGTCTTACCCCGGTGTCCTGGCAGTTGGCCCAGGCTGTGCAAGTTTTCTGCTTTGCGGACCAGCACCTTGATGCGATGGGCAGTAGCTTGATACTGAAGAAGGAGGAAGAGCTGGCCGTGGGACCCCATCCAGGGAGTCCTGAGGCCTGGTACCAGCAGGTCCTGAGAGCTGTGGCTCTGTAAGAGGCACGGAATTTTCTATTCATATTCTAAGGGTGCCCCCATTGATCGTAAGCCATCCCGCCTAAGCCCACACTTGCCTCTGCTTTAAGCAATCCCACTACCAGCCCCAAACTTTGAAGTCCTACCCCTAGGTCCTACGATCACACTCCCTCAACTCCTTGGCCCTGCCTCTCACCCCACAGCCCCTTCATTGTGTAGCCTGGTGGCTATGCCACTAGAGTCCTTAACTCCCCTTTTATCTCCCAGAGTCACTTCCCCATATCCCAAGACCCTGCCTCCTTTGGAAACAGGGTAGTGGAATTCTTTCCAGTGGGAGGGACTGTGAGGAAACTGTGAACACTGAGAGAGTGGGAGAATGCAATGTCCATAGAGTCATACTTCTCATGGTGGGGGAGATGGAGATGCTTGGTGGGCAGGGTGAGTGGAGGTGAATGCAGAGGGTGAGCAAGTGTGAGGTGGGCAGTGGGGTGTAGTTGTGGGCCAACTCTGAGAACATGCCCACTGTGCCCTTTTATCACTTGGCTGCCCAAGGTAGAAGTGGAGTTACTACTGAGGCTAGGGATGGGATGGTGAGTACCAAAGATGGTGGCTGACTCCCATAGATGGGAGGAGGCTTAATCATTGGATATGGGGAGTGAGTACCAGAACTGGACATAAATACTAGAAATGGAGTAGAGGTCAGAAATGAATACATCAGTGATGGGTGGGGAGTAAGTACCAGCCATAGAGGAAAGGAGGCAAATTTGAATGTCAGGGATGGAGGGGCAAGTGGCACAGATAGGAGCTGAGAGCCAGAGACACTGAAGATGAATACTGGGGATGGAGGTGAGAATGAGGATTAGAGGTGGATTCCAGTTATAGGGGCTGGACATCATAAATCAAGGTATCAGCACTGGGTGGGGAGTGAGTACCATCAGTGTAGGGAAGGGAGCATCTCAGAATGCCAGAGAGGGGGATGAGTGTGTAGGGGGTGGTAACAGGGTTACTGGGAGCAAGTCTGGGCAATAGAGGTGATCTCCATGGATAGGGGTGATTCCTAGAGATGAAAGGTGACTCCAAAATAGCCCTAAGCTGCCCAAGGCTCATTGTTCTTTCTCTCCCTCCTCTGAGCCTCCTAGGCCTTCTGGTTCTGCTCTCAGAAGCTGCTGATTAGCACAGCTCCCAAGGCCCCTGACCTTTTGCATTTTGCTCTTGATGGTGGACAGCTCCCGGGTGTAGCTGACCAGGCAGCCAGAGAGAGAATCTGAGGCCACCTGGGCACAGGGAAAGAATACTTCAGCCACAAAGTTGTTTCTGAGCCCAGGGAAATCCCGGCTGTAGACAGCCATCTGCAGAGCCTGTGCCCTCACAACCTGTGGGGTGCAGCCTTGGAAGCTGAACCTCTCATGGAACTCCACAGTAGGGCCAGGAGGCTGCAGGGCTGTTTTTTGGTGACCAGTCCTGCTTGGGACCAGGTACAACTTGACGTAGCATCCTCGGCCAGGCAGGGAACCCTGCGGTAGCTCCGATGCTCGGATGCCTGTCACAATCAGCTCCTCCTCCACTGGTGAATAACCCAGGGAGAAGCTGAGACGAGGCTGGGAGTGACCAGGGAGGCTGCGGGAGGCTGAGAGGGATCTGGGCCACTCCAGGGAGCTGACTCTGGCCATGGGCTTTCTCTGCTTCTTCTTGGATATGGACAGGAAATTAGGAGGTTCAGGGGGTTGTGGAGAGGAAGAGACCTGGGCCATGGGGCTCTGGGAAGGAGGCTCCCAGGCCTCGAGGGACTGGTAGTGAGGCTGGACAGACACGGCCAGGGGTTCTGAACGGGCCACAGCTTTCCAGACCTGAACCATGGCTGGGGTGGGCAGGTTGGCCGGTGACTGTCTCCACCGCCAACAGAATCCACAGCCCAGCAGGAGGCTGGAGAAGAGAACAGTGCACCCAGCTCCCAGGAAGACCTGTGGGGACACTGGAAGAGACAGGAATCAGGGATGTGGGGAGAGGGCTGTTACCAAGCACCTTGCCCTTCTCTGTCTCCGTCTGTCTGCTCTTTTTTGGTGAGGCAATTGGGGTTGTGACTTACCAGAGTCACACAGCTAGTGAGTGACCTCAGGTCCTCCTGACTCCAAGGCTGGTGCTCTATCCACTGTGCCACCTAGCTGCTCCATCTATCTCTCTGTCTCCCTCTCTGTCTCTCTCTCTTCTCTCTATGTCTGTCTATCTCTGTTTCTCTCTGTGTGTGTTTCTCTTTGTCTCTCTGTGTCTCACTGTGTCTCTGTCTCTCTCTGTCTCTATCTGTCTCTCTCTTCTAATGCCAAACTATCTCCTCTAAACCCCTTTAGGGCCCTCCTCTAATATCACTTCCTGGAATAATAACAATAATAGCAATTTCAGGTTTGCAAAGTGCTTTCTGTATATCATCTCAAGATTGGTGAGTCCTTCGCCCATCCGGTGATTCCATGAGGGAACCCAGCCCCTCAATCTCTGGACTTTCCCCCCTCCTCAGCAGCAGGCTTAGTGATGGAGGAGGGATCTGGGTCTCTATCCTAACCTACCTTCCCTTCTAGGTTGGGCTGCCCCCATGGAGGGAGCCTGGGAGGAGGGGGTGGTCCATAATGGGCTGAGCAGCTAGATAAACTAATTTTCAGTTGTGTGGATAATGTGAACATAGAAGGTAATGAGAGCCTCTGTGGGCATAACTTTTTAATACGCTTCAAAGAGATAGCATTATTACATCAGATTCTCACCAATGTGATTGGTGAGGGAGGTATGGTTTATTATCCCCATTTTGTAGATGAGGAGACTGAGGAATGTGGTTGCATGAAGTAGGTGACACAGAGTTACACCCTGAGACTGATGGCTCCCAGCCCTCTTTCCACCACCCCATACTAGCCTGACTGAGTGTAAGTACCTGGGTTTCCTTCTCTCAGACCACAGGATCTCATTCAGCTTCCTTCACTTCTGCTGTTTCAGAAATGTCTACCTATAGTCCTGTCCCAGGAAATGGAGAGGGGCAGAGGGAGGGGAGAGGGGAAAGTAGGACTAAACAGACTTGTAGATTTAAAGCCAGAAGGGACCTCTGAGGCTGCCAAGTCCAATTCCTCCTATTTTACAGATGAGGAAACTGAGGCTGGAGGCGGTTAGGCAGGATACGAGCTCAGGTCTTTTGACTCCAGGTCCAAGGCTCTCTCCCCTGCACCGCCAGAAGAGACCTCAGACGTCACCTAGCCCAACCTGTGCCTGTCCAGGAAGCCTATCCACGACTTCCCCAGCCAGCAGTCATCCAAGCCTCTGCTCAGAGGCTCCCAGGGACGGGAAGCTCAGCGTCTCCTTTGGCTGCCCATTCTAGTTTGGGACAACTCTAACCGGCAGGCCAAAATCTCCATCCGTACATCTTTCACCATTATTCCTTTTTTTGTCCCCAAGGACCAGTCTGTGCTCTTTTCTGCCCCACAGACAATCTTTGCAGTTCATACATAATGGTATTTCTTTTTTATCTGGATATGTGGTTCACCCCCTCCCCCACCCTCCACAGGATGTAAGCTCCTTGAGGACCATCACCTTGAATGGTGCCTGGTACACAGTAGGCACTAAATAGATGCTTATTGAATTGAATCTTCCCTCCTATGGTAGCCCTTTAAGCATTTGGAGGCAGTCTGTGCCCCTTTCTTCTTCAGGCTGAATATCTCTTTATCCAAACTCCATATTACCCTGACCTGGAGGCTCCTGACCATTCTGTGCTTTAAGTTTTATGAAGTGCTTTACAAATAAATATTGCCTCATTTTGTCCTCACAACAACTCCGCGAGGTAGGTGCTATTATTATCCCCATTTTACAGATGAAGAAACTGAGGCAGAGAGAGGTTAAATGACTTGCCCAGGGTCATGCAGCTTGACAGTGTCTGAGGCATCATGTGAACTTGTCTTCCAAGCGCTGCTACCAGCCTATGTGGTCATGGTCACTTTCCCTCTGTGCTCCTCAGTTTCCCCATTTGTGAAAATAAAGTTCTGTTGTATTTTAAAATGTGAAGGCCATCCTTAGCTCACACAAAAGAGAGGTTGTCGGATTTGGACCTTGGGTCAATGTTAGCTGGCCCCCTGGAGTAGATATATGTCAAAGTCTCTTCTAGTGTTAGGTACTGTGATGCTCTTTGCTGTCCCCCATCCCTTACCTAGTAATGATAATAGCTAACATTTATATAGTGCTTACTATGTGTCAGGTGCTTTACAATCATTTCATTTAATCCCTCCCAACAACCCTGGAAAGTGGGTGCTAGTATTATCCCCATTTTACAGATGAGGAAACTGAGGCAAATAGAAGTTAAGTGACTTGTCTAGGGTCACATAGCTAGTAAGTGTCTGAGTCCAGATTTAAACTCCAGGACCAGCTCTTTATCCACTCCACAACCTAGATTCTCCCCAGGTACTCCCTGTGCCCTCCTGCTAACCAGAGCACCCAGTCTTGGCTTCCTTTCCTCCATAGTATGCGGCCCCTCTGCCCATTAAAAATGCTCATTCTTTAGGCCTGCCTAAGCCTCATAGATGTGACAGAACTCACCTTGAAGGAGAAATCAGGATGCCTGAGAGCCAATAGTTTGCACTTTGTAAAAGAGTACAGGACAAAGGCTTCTCCAAAAGAATGAAATTTTAATGCTAAAACTTGGGGCAGTTTCTGCCAGAGGGGCTTTTCCCCCAGCACTTCTCAAATCAAACTGTTTGAGTCAGTCACCTGGTCCCCTTCTAAGTCAGGTCAGCGCCATAGAACATTGGACTGAACTCCAGATTTGAGGTTCCTGGTGCTGGGTTTGAATTCTGGCTTTGCCACTTACTACCTGAGTGATATGTGACAAGTCACTGGGCCCTACTCTGGAAAACGAGGAGGCTGAAAACATTTGCAGCAACGAAAACAAAGCAGATGCCCATTGATTGGCAAATGGCTACTCAAAGGTGGTCTATGAATGTGATGTATTATTAGTGTTTTACCCTAAGAGACGATGATATATGAAGAGTTCAGAGAAACTTGATAATATTTGTATGAACTAATGCAGACTATGGCAAGTAGAACCAAATATATAACAATATAAAGGAAAATAACACTAAGAGAGACTAGAATTGTATTCTTTGTTCTATGGGATGGGCGTGGCTCTCTGGGAGAGGGAGGTGTGACATACAGGGAGAAGTTGAGGTGATTAAAAACAAAAGATATCAGTAAAATGTATTTTTTTTTAAAAAAAAGACATCAGTATTCAGATCAATGCAATGACCGGTTTTGACTGCAGAGGGCTGATGGCCCCTCCTCTTAGTAAAGAGGTGGTGGGCTTCAGGTGCGGAATGAGACATAAGCTGTCAGACATGGTCTGTATTTCAATTTGTTTTGCTTACCTGTATTTCTTGGTTACAAGAGAGGATACTAGTGAGGGAGTTGGGTTGTTGCTAAATGACTGAGGTGTAAAAAAAAAAATTAATAGAATTGATAAAACTCTTTTTAATGAAAAAGAATAATAAAAGAGGGGAGTGGGCTGAATAAGCTCTAAGACCCCTCCTGGCTTTCAAGGAATGATTCAAAAATCCCATCTTCCGCTCCTGTCTCCAGTGCCTTGGCCATCCACCTGGGGCGGCTAGGTCTGGCTAGAGACTTCAGAAAGCTGCCCCAGGTCACAAGGCTGGAGGGGGCTGGCCACAGGCCCAGAGAAAGTCAGGGTTGCTGGAGTTTCAGCAGCTTTCACCTGTTCAGGGCTGTTCTTGCCTCCTGCCTCCAGGGCTGTAACCTGGGATAAACAGTAGGGGCCTTGTCTTGGCCGAGTGTGGGAGGTGGGGTGGGGAGAACTGAGTACAGAGCGGGAAGAGGCAGAGCCCTTAGCACAAGGGGCGAAAGAGAGTCCCAAGGCAGAACTTGGGGAAGGGAAAGGAGCTGGGCTGTGGTTTGCATGTGATTTGCATTTGGCATTTAGCAACTGCCATCTAACCTTGTCCGCCATAAGGAATGGGGGGTGAGGGTAGAGTGAAGGTCACCGTGTCCGCATTCTTCTCTTTATTCCTGCTCTCACACTCGCTGCCAGCACCCCCAGTCCCTGCCACAGGAAAGGGGGGAGTGAGGGGCCCAGCTAAGCAGAAGAGAGGAGGAAAGCAGGAAGGACCCCAGGAAGCTCTGCGGAGTCCTCAGAGACCAAAATCTCAGCTCCAACAGCTAGGGACTAGAAGAATTGTCAGAAGGACAAAGTTTTCCGTAAATATTCCCAGTATTCTTAGAATCTTTCTTCAATGTCTCTATCCCCCTCCAGGTGTCTAATGGAAGGCTAAAGGCTTTTAAATAATTGTTAATAGGTGAGAGGTCAGAAGGGACGGGGCAAGTACAGGGGAGGACTTGCTCTCTCAGACCTAAAACACTTCTGTGACTATTTAGAAATGAATTCCAATGTTCCAGTTTCACCAGAAGGAAGAAGGATGACCAGGACAGTAAACAGGCTGGAGGAGAAAAGATGGTGGTGACGGGAAGGGTGTGAGGCCATGGGGTGGATAGCCTACAGTGGGTATCTCTCCCAGAAGATGAAGATACAAGGGAGGCACAGAACTAGAGGAAAGGACTTTCTGGGAAGCCTTCTGGAGTCTGGATTGTAGAGGCAATGTGCCTGTCCCTTCAAGGGCTGGACTGAAAGAAAGCAGGAACGCCACAGTCATTCCAGACCTGGTCTCCTAATAAGTCTATGGCCTATTACCTCCCTTTTCCGGCTACCTTCACTTACTCTGCGTAGAAAGTAGGGAGAGGACTTGTCCCCATTGTTTAGGCAGGGAAAACTGAGGGGAAAAGGGAAGTTCTTGAGCACTTTTTGAACCTGGGTAAATCATTTCGAAACTCCCAGCCTCAGCTTCCTCATCTCTAAAATGGGGATAATCCGTGACTATTTAATTCACGGAGCCGTCATGAGAACCACGAGAGAAGATGTGGGCAAAACATTCCAAGGCACCATTAAAATGTTGGTTACTCATGCTCCAGGTAGGGCAGCAATGGTGAACGTGGAAAGAAAACTCAGGTCTGCAGGCTCCAAGGAACATGTTTGTGTATATAAATGTTTGTGTGCATCAGATTTCCTCACTATTAGCAAGAACAGGAAGGGGAGGGTAACTCAGATAGAAAAGCAACATGGAGTGGAAAAAAGATGATTGGACTTGGAGTCGGAGGGAGCCGGGTTCGAATCCTGACTCTGACACTTCTTAGCTTTGTGCCTATGAACAAACCATGATATCTCTCCGAGCCTCAGTTTCCACTGCTATGAAACGGAGCCATTATTACTTTCACTCCCTACTTCATAAGGAAAGCATCTTGTAAGCTTGAAGAAGATAGAAATACCATCTACCCACCCACCTCTTGACAGAGAAATGATGGACTCAAGATGGTGGCTAAGACATACACTTTGCTTGACTACGAGTATTTGTCACAAGGCTTTGTTTTCTTTTTCCTTCCCCTCCCCCCAGCAGGTTGGATGAGGGTGGGAGGGATGGAGACACAGATAGGGTAGCAAAAAAGAAGAAAATAAAGAAAGAGAGGATTATTGTAGGTTTTTTTTAAATGCAAAGAGAACAGAAAGAAACATCAGCAAGACAGCTTTGAAAAGCTACTGCTTGAACTCACCTGAAAAGAAAAGCAAGATGTATGTAACTGAGATCTGTTTTTTTGTATACAATTCTCAGTGTTCTAAAGAGAAATGCCCATTTCATTCGGTGTTTGTAAAGTTCAGAATAAACATTTTTAAAATGTGAGTTATTGGTGCCCAAGGAAGTAGCTTCAATGGCAGGAAAGAAGGAAACCTAGGAACCCTACCTCCTGGTATTAGAACCCCCTCCCTGGTCCCCTGCAGTTACCCACCCCTAAGAGTCCTCCTTATCTCCTCTCCTGGCCCCAGTCTTCCAGAGTTTCCAGGATGCTCCACCTACCCCAGCCCTAGTGAATCGCTGTCCACCCTGGCCAGGTGCTGACCCCCCCACCAGCCCCACCTCAGTATTACCTGCTTCTTGTTCGTGGTGGGGATTACCAGGAGCCTGGGGGGCTCGAGGCCAGCTCCCTGCTGCAGGCATGGACATTTCTCTCAAGAGTGGATAGATCAAGGGCCAGCTGGGGCAACCCTGGGGCTGCCCTGAGAAAGACCTTTCTGGGTGGTGGTCAAGGGCCCAATCTGCCCTGCTTAGTGCCTGGCCTACTGAAGAGCTCCTGGGTTTCAGGTGCCTTGGGCAAAGAGACAGAAGATTGGAGCACAGGGGCCCCTGGTGCCAGTCTGATACACCTCCGTGAGTGTATTCTGAGGTTGAACAGAGCAAGTTTATTGCTATTCAGTTCCACCCCTGGTTGGGGCGGAGGCTGGTTAGAGGCGGGGCACCTGTGAGAGAAAATTCCCCCCTTTCTTTGCTTTTTTTTTTCTTTTTTTTCCCCTGGGGGCTAAGTTGTGCAAGGACTACTCTGACGGGCAGAGCACCCAACTCAGAAGATCTGGGTTCAAATCTTAGCTCTGCCTCTTACTACCTTATTCCTCTAGGTCTTAGTTTACTTATCTGTAAGATGAAAGGATTGGCTTATGTAAAGCCCCCCTTCAAGCTCTAACATTCTTTGCCCCAGGCTCAGATATGAGGGAGAGGGAACCAGGTAGTGCAGAGCTTGCTCTGTGATTCTCCCTCAGATCCCTCATCAAAAGGAGGGAGAGGGACAGTTGCATTCACTCGCCATGATCACAGATTCATATGTTAGAACTGGGTGAGACCTTAGAGACTGATCTAGTCCAACCCCTCAAGTTACAGATGAGGAACCTGAAGCCCAAAGATGAAAGTAACTAGAAGTAGAAAGGACTAGAAAGCAGGTCTCATGCCTTTAAACCGGCGCTCTTCCATTGTATAAGGATGCTGCTTCCTTAGATACACGCTCATCTTCCTTCCTTACCATCTATCCAAGTCATCTTTCAAGGCCAAACTCAAATCCCCACACCTTCGGGGAAGCCTTCTTTGGCCATTCCCAATCTTACTGAATTTTCCTTTAACTGGAGACACACTACACAAATTAATCCCATTTGCTCATCATCAGATGTTTATCCTTTATTTTCCTGTTTTTTTCCCCATGAATTTGAATCTCATGTCCCCAAAAAGTAAATGAACTGTCCTGTGGTCACATAGCTAGTAAATTTTAAAATCAAGACTGGAATCCAGGTCTCTGACTCTAAATAATCATAATAACTATTATAGCTAGCATTTATGCAGCATTTTAACATTTGCAAAGCACTTGACAAATATTACCTCATCATAACAGCCATGGGAGGTATTATTCCTCCCATTTTACAGATGAGGAAACTGAGCCCAATAAAGGTTAAGTGACTTGCCCAGGGTTCCCCAGTTAGTGCCTGAGGCAGGATTCCAATTTAGTTCTTCCTGACTCAAGTCCAGTGCTCAGCCTACCAAACCACCTAGCTGCTGCTTTCCCCACCACCGAGCTGCTAGAGCAGGTTATAATAGATGGCCCAGTACCACATACCTCTTGTCTCTCTAATTGTTGGCATGCCCTCCTCCAGCAAGGCCAGAATCTTTGGGCCTCTCTTATAGTGCCTAGCACTGGACTGGGAGTCCTAGTAGATGACCCTTCTTCTGCCTTCTTTCCCCTACCTCCTCACATTTCTTCTCATTATCCTTGGGATAGCACTCACTTTCAGCAAACTTGAAATCCAGTTATTTAGGACTTAGGCTATACTGCCTGAATAGAAAAGGTCTGGCAAGTGGAAGACTCCTGAGCCATAATGCACTGCAAAGGTACAAAACCTCACCACTAATCTCGGCATTAGCCAGGATGAAGGCCTAATGTTTCATGTAAACCCCGTTAAAAGAAAAGCACCCAATCCCAAGTGTGAACTACACAGTCCAGGAGTAGAGGGGGAAGTGAGATGGTGCAGCAGAAAAGAACTGTTCTGGAGTCGAAGGATGTGAATTGAAATCCCATTTATGGTACTATCTGAATAACCTTGGATATATTTACCTTGTCTGGGCATCAGTTTCTCAATCTGTAAAATGAGGGGGTTGGTTGGATTTAATGGCCTCTGAGGACACTTTGAGCTCCAGATCCATGACATGCATTCAAAATCAAATGTGTGTGTGTTCAACTCCCAGGTATGTGAGTTAGCTTACTCAATGTGTATGGAGTCTAGACTCCACCTGCACCTATCCCCACAACTATTGAATGGTGGCTGTTATCAGAAAGGAATTCTAACTTAGGATAGGTGGTGGAGTCCAAAGGGGAGTTTTCTTAACCCAAACCTTAAATAGAGGATGAGTTGGTGAATTCCTCTTCGGCAATATAAGGGACACTGAACAACTTTGGGTTAGGGCAGCATGTCTTCTGTCACTAACCCATTAGCACCTTAGTTATCAGAATGCTCCTACCAGGAACTCATTAGCAAGTAGTCGATGAGTTCCTTAGTTGGGCTCTGAGGGGATGGAACAAGACACTCCTTCGATGGAGAAGGTTTAATTAAGGTAGGGCTGGCCAGGGCTCTGTTGGTGGTAAGGGGTGAAGAAGTTACAGAAACTCCCATCTCTCATACTTCCCTGGTTTAGCAGGCCTAGAACACACACCTGAAGACAAAAATCATGGAAAGAGGTCCTTTCTAGTTAGAGCCCTTCTTGGACTGCCCCCTGGTGGCCAGAAGTCAAGCCCATGGCAGTTGGACAGCACCAAGGGCCCCTAGAAGCCAGTAAGGGTTTGGTAGGTATCATGACCAAACAGGAGATAGAGAGCATTAAGGAAAGCAAAATGGATAATTTTGATTACATTAAATCGAAAAGGTTTTGCACAAACAAAGCCAATGCAACTAAGATTAGAAGGAAGGTAGAAAACTGGGAAAGAATTTTTACAACCAGTCTCTCTGAAAAGGACCTCATTTCTAAAATATATAGAGAATTAAGTCAGTGTTTCAGAGGAATGACTTGGACTCCAAGACGGGTCTTTTGCACTCAAAGTCTCGCTAGAAAACCGCATTTAAAAACTCACACAGGCAAGGACGTGTCATCTCCCTTCAAGTCATCACCTTGGAGAGCTAGCATCCCTAGAAGGATGCAGCCATCACTCAGAAGGAAAAATTCTCTTTGATAAAGGCCTTTGGAGCCTGATTACAGGTCACCCAAGTACAGCAGGCCCATTGTTTCAGTCATTCTTTGCTTTTGATTGCCAGAGGACTGACTCTTCACCTTATTCATCAGAACGTGCTCAACCATGACTTGCTGTTTCCAAATACCTACATTATTGGTGCCCAGCTGAGCTCCAGCTTACAGATGACCCATGCTCATTTGCATCAATGGGCTGATAGTCTGAAAGGAAAAGCTGTTGCATACTTCTGTCCTGGTCTGTTGATGGACGGACTCGACCAAATGATCAGCCAGAGGGAAAATTTGGTTGGCATCTCTGGTCCGTCAGGCAGGGCATGAGCTCAGAACTGGAGCTGACAAAGACACAGATTGGGGAAAACTGGATGCAAGGCAAAGCTGGAGGAATGTCTCTCCCTCCAGACAAGGAACTGCCGGAAATGGCTACTGGGCTCTCTGTCCTGTTCTCATAACCACCTGTTCCAGGACTGTTGCCCTCAGCCCCACACACCCACTCACCAAGTCACAGAACATTTTATACAAAATATTATATATAGTATAACAGCAGCAAAGAGGCAGGGGCCTGTTCTTGTGAAGAGGTAGAAGTTTATTGGAATATAAACATTCAAAGAACATGTAAGATAGAAAATAACAACAACATATACAGACCCTTGCTGTAAGAAGACATCTGAGGTATTCATCCACCGCCTAGGCTACCCATGTGCTATCACATTTTCTTGTTAGAATATATAAGATATGGGGGAGGGGGAAGGAGGGAGCAAAGCTGCCCTCGCTGTTTGGTTTAAAAAAAGGTCCTTTCTGGGGAAGCAGATCTTAGAGCCAGGGCCCTTCGTCTGTGTCCTCCACTGGCACACCCCCACACGCTGCCATCTGGCTGGGGGTCTGCCCAGATGAGGTGACGCCAGGCTGGCTTTACTGGGGGAGACCTCATGACCGCAGAGACCTCCTGTGCTATTCCTGCTTCCTCCGGGTGGAAAGCCCATCCGGCACAACCGAACCCCTGAGAACTACACGCTGCACACTGCTTACACGAGCTTGAAGCCAAGCGGAGGGCCCAGGACAAGCCAGTGAGGAAGGCCCAGTCACCCCCACCCCGAGCCCGACTCCTGTCTTGGGGACCGATGCTGGTTTCCAGAGATGCACCTCCACCCCACAAGGTCTGATTCATGGGTGGGATCTCCGAGCGCCAGGAGAGGAACCCCAGCTGAAGACAAGAGGCTAGGCTGCACGAATCTGTCGTGTGCTGGTGCTCCTTAGCGGTCTTCCTTCCTTTCCTGAGTTGGACTGATCGTAGTCTGCGCTCTCCGCCCAAGCCAGCATAATCTAGAGCGATGCTGTGCTGAGAAGAGCAGGGTGGGAAGCGCTCGCTGTCCTGCAGAAGTGTTCACGAAGCTCTGTGCAAGTGCCTCTTGTCACAACACTCGGACGAGAGGCTCTGGACCGCAGGGCCAGAGGGAAGAGGAAGCAAGCAGGAGACCTGGGTCCTCACCCCCGGGGCAGCGAGAAAACCTTACTCTTTGGCTCCAACCAACAATGTCCCCAAGGCCTCGATGATGCTATTCACGGGGCACATGCTGCCCTCAAATGCAGGATGGTGGGCATGGAAGAGTTGTGACAAGCCCCATTTTGGCAGGAAAGGGGCTTTGATCTCCTAGGGGAGAGTCTGGAAACCCAAGCTGGCATGAGGAATGAGTCTAAGCTGCCCATCTCCTCTCTCTGGCTCCTATCCCTGAGTCATCTGCCTCTTGCCTTTCCTGCCCCTTCTCTGTGGTCCTAAGGAAAGGCCATTAGGGCTGGGACACCAAGCTATTTGCTTAGCTTTAGGGATGGGGTGCTTTTTTTCATCTTTGGTGCTACAATAATAATAATAATTATAATTATTATAATAAAAATAAAAAACAAGTCATCAAAACACATATAAAAAGATTTCAGAGATGCAAATACTTCCTGAAGAATCAAACATCAACAATTACAAATCTTGAGGTATTTCAAAGAACCCGATGCAGGCAGGTTAGGGGATGTGGGGGTGAGGATACTGAGTTGACCCCTCGAGATAGATGGAGCGGGAAGGGAGGTATGGGAGTAGAAGAGGCCAAGGGGAAGGCCAGGACAGTTGAGGGATGGCCTGGCCAGTGGAGTGTGGGGCATGTGGACTTGAAGGACT